CAGGGTACCATGCTGGGGCCAGAGTAAGGCAGTAGTGGTACCCTACACTCATCAATGTGCTTCTTTTTCACCTTCTCCCCCCCAAAGAAGCCCACCTTCCCTGTGTCAGAAGTACCCAGTGGGGTCTCTGGAGCCCCCAATAACATGAGTGGTGTCATCACTACTGAGCACTTGCCACATGCCAGGGCCTCTGTATGCCACTTTCAATCTCAACCCTACACATCACGCAGAAGTCAGAGAAGCAAGGCTGCTTCCTGCTGGGGAGGTGCCCTGCACACATGCGCTAGGGGCTGTGCAGGCGTCCTGGCGGGCCTGTGGGCATTCTGCACCTTCAGGACGAGAGGTGCAGGCAGGCACTGGCAGAGGCCTGGGGAAGCTGTGAGGCACCCCTGGCCACTAGTGCCACCACAGAGCAGAGGCTGTGCAGTCTCTGGATCGCTCATTCCCAGCTGGTGAAGCCAGAGTTCTAGATCTTGCTGGCTGGCTTTAGGCAGGGTGGAAAACAACAGAGGTCAAGGAGAGCAAGCAGGGAAGGAGACTGGCTGGGAGCAGTGACATAAGTCCAGGTACGAAGACAAGGCTGTTTCAGGACAGGAAATTATGGGTGAGCTGCACTTTCTGAGTGATTAGGTATTAAGCATGGACTGCCCTAATACAGCATGGCATTTAAGAGCGAACACTGGAGTCCCACAGTCAGGCTCAAACTCCAGCTGCGCTGCCTGTGGCTGTGCAGTCACTTCTCTGACGTTAATCTCACCTGTCACCCGAGGGTACTAAGAGCATCATCATAGTGTTGATGCTATGTAAGAATTACACAGAGGTTTTAGCCCAGGGTACAGGGTACGGTAAGCACTTGGTAACAGAAATTAGTATGAGAATATTTCTGAAAATATTAATCATTCCCCCTAAAAAGAAACAAAATCCTCACAGCACAGACTGGCGGGGTGCTTTGATACTTGTTTTGTGCACTAATCCTCACCTGCCTCACTCGGTGCAAGTTCCCCAGGTACAGGGGCCATGTGCCATGGCTGCCAGTCTCCCCAGCCTCCACCGCGTCTGGCATGTGGACTCCTGGACTTCAGGTCTCCACAGCCCTGTGCCGTCAGACCCCTGATGTGCCGGGCTGTCTGGGGTGTGCATGTGAACAAGGACGACGATGCACCATCATTGCCCTTGAAGGGGTCACAGCCAGCGAGGGAGGATCTTAAGTCAGCCTGTGACAATCTAATAATCCCAGGCTCCCCGGCCCACCTGCGCTCCTACTTGACATCTCTCTTACCCCCACATACACAGGAACAGACACAGCCACCCTTTTCCTCGGCTGCAGTCCCCAGGCTCCAGATGTCTCTGGTGCTGCCCTTCTGGAAAGCTTGCTTTGCAGAGGCTTCTACCTTAAGTGCAATGAAAAGCTGTTCTGTGCTGTGCGGGCCCCAAAGGCTACCTCCCCAGCTCCTACCCACTTTATCAGGCCCTCCTGCTGGCAGGGCTATGCAGTCTCCTCCACAGGGGCCGTGGGTCCCCAGACTGACCTTGTCCCTATGTTTGATCAGCCGTCTCTGGCCTGCCCTGGGGGAACTGGTACAAGACAAGCAATAGGAGTGGTGTTTGATCAGGGCAGCTGGGGAGCCCTGGCTGATAGCTGCTCTTAGCCTTCTGCTAATCTCTCCTCAGAGGGTGAGGAGAGGAGCATGTTCTCATTGACTGGCCTAGAGGGACTGGAGGACAGCTTCAATGAGAGGAGAAAGACGTGGAAGCGGTGTTCTCTCTGTGCAGAGAAAGTGGGGCAAGCAGAGAGCTGCCTGGGCCCAAATGCCAGTGCCCTGTAGGTACCTGATGTACAGACCCTACTCCAGGAGAAGTCAAGACAGGCATGGCTCCAGTCCTCAAGGCCTTTAGAAGAATCTGCCCCTGGAGTGGAGAGAATCTGGATACCACTACTGGGGGCGGGGGGGAGGGGGAAGGGCTCACATAGGCCTGGGGCATAGTTCCTCTTCCCCCAAAAAACTATGAGTTTGGGGTCAGAGTCCTATAGAGCCCAACAGCAGGTAGCAGCCACTGTGCGCCCAGAGTTCCACTGCTGGGACCAAGCCTACAGAAGTGCCCCAAATGCTGCCATGGCCATGGGACATGTGCTTATTCAGTGACACATGCAAGGGAAGCAGTCCACACAGCCCTGAGGAAGGAGCTTGGGTTCTGGGCCCATGTCCTAGATGTTCCCTTCTCAGGGAAACCCTGAATTCTGGAATATTTCTCAAGGAACAGAGTAAAGACTCTGAGTCTAGGACAAGGCTACGCAGAGCCATAAGCTACTTTCCTTCTTCATCCCAAACACATTTCTGATTATAAGCTCACAGAGGTCAAGACGAAAATAAACACTAAACTAGATAAGCAAGGACAGCAAGGCACGGTGGCACACAGCTGTTGTCCCAGCTACTTGGGAGGCCGAGGCAAGAAGGTAATTAGCTGGGGACTAGCATGGGCAACTTAGCAAAATCCTATCTCAGAAAATGGGGGCTGGGGAGATGGCTCAGTGGATTAAGTGCTTCCCTGGCAAGCACAAGGGCCTAAATTCAATCCCTAGTTCCGCAAAAAAAAAAAAAAAAAGAAAGAAAATAAAGGGCTGGGGCCCAAGAGATAGCTCAGAGGAATAAGCATTTACCTGGCAAGCACAAAGACCCAAGTTCCATACCTAGCCCCACATGCCATGTAGTCTTGGCCTCGGATATGGGTGCCCACCACGTAGCCCCAGAACCAGGCATGGTGGTATCTGCCTATAATCCCAGAACTTGGTAGGTTAAGCCAGGGGGATCTCTAAGTTTGAAACCTGCCTGGGGGCTACAAAAGTGAACACAAGTCCAGCCCAAACTGCACAGTAAGACCCTGTCTCAAAAAAATGGGGGGGGGGCCCTGTGGGTGTAGCTCCATGTAAAGGCCTTGAGTCAATACCTACTACTGTACACACACACACACACACACACACACACACACACACACACACAAGGCCAGGCAGCATCACACACTCATCCTCCTTTCCCTTTACGTTTGCTGATGACATCTCAGAGGCTGTGACCCCCCAGCTGTGGTGCCCATGGGCAATGAACACCCCAGCCCTTGGAGAATCAGTTCCCTTTACTATCAGCTCTGGTCCACACGGCTTACTTCAGTGCAACCCAGGAAGCACTTTCACCTTGGTCCTGGGCCCTGTCCTCTCCTTTCTCTGCCCTGACTCATGCTCCAGGCCCTTTAAAAGTCTAAACATTAACAGCCATCACTTAGGAAGCCACTATACTGTCAGGCACTAAAAATGTTAACTTTTCTCCTCACAATCACTGTTAGGAAAGGCTCGCAGGCCAAGGGGAGGTGAGCAGAGTGGCCCAGGCCCTCAGTGGAGCCGAGCTTCCAGGGCTGCAGGACTCCACGGCCTCCTCACTTCCTAGGCTGGTCGGCTCCTACAGGCAGCAAATCTCCTAGCTGTGCTTCTCCCTCTTGCCTCCTTGCTGGCTGTCAGCAATGTGACATTTTTGGCTGTTCACTGGGAAAGATTTCTGCTTATTTTATGGTTATCTGCTCAGCATTGGTGCTTTGGGGGTATGTGAGATTCAAGAGATAAATGAAAAGTGGTATGTGTCTTAAGGACCCCTAAGGATTCAGAGGAAGGAAACACAGAGTGCCAGAAAATGTAGGGAATGGCTGACTTGTCTATAAAAAAATCTTTATATTAACTAAAATTTTTACAGTAAATCCATTAAATTCTGGCTTCTAATTTGCCCTGCATTTTATGAAGTTAAACCATCTGCTGAGAGCCAGGAGGAGGGAACTCAAAGAGCGCTGACCAGGATCCCAGAGCGGCATGCGGGGATTTACCAGGGGGACACCAGAGCCCGTGCTCTCACACACAGCCCTCTGCTTGCTGCTCTGGTGAGAGGCCTTAGGAACTGAGACTCCATGACAGGCGTCTTCCCCTGGGCCATGCCAACACCAAAGCACACATCCCCTCAAGCCTGTGCCCACCTGACAGCTACCCAGAATCAAATGAAAGCCAGGTCTGCAACATCACAGTCCACCTGAAACTCAGGCAGCGCCTGTTTTCCAAGTAGGTATTTTATTACACGTATTAGTGCAGGCTGAACATGAGTAATAGTCTGCAATCCCACTTACAGCATCGAATGGGGGCTGGTTGTCCCGACCACATGGAAACAGGTGTGACTGGCTTGACTAAAGGAAAGCATGACATTTCCCCAGTTTGTAGGGAATGACTTTTCCCCCCTCAACAATACAATCCAAGTACACACATCTTTCCAGGTAGAGTCTCAGCAGTGCCACTGAGCTATTGGTCTAAATCCTGCTCGCCCCCAGGTTTCTGACAACAAAACAACAAACTTGCCTCAGACACTCCCTTCAACACTAAAAATCTTTCTTTTATTTCCATTTTCTTACCTTCTAAGCATTTTGTGGATACGCTAGCCAGGCTATTGAACCCTCCTTTTGGGAGGCCTAAAGTACTACAGCCTCTTCTCTGTCACAGTCCACTTTGTAGTCCCAATTGGACAGGAGTACCACTTGTGCCCTAGGCCCACCTGTCACTGTGGTAAGGCTAGCAGTGCCCTCCTGTCCTTCACCAGTAAAGCACTCTCAGGCACATGCAATTTTAAGGCACACCTCCCACCTGCATTGTGTCATGAGCCCTCAGGGTGAGGGGGAACTCTTAGGGCCCCTCACCCTTCCCTGATTCTGAGGCTCTGCTTGGGCTCAGGAGTACAGAACAGAGACCCTCCCTATCTCCTCTGCCCAACATCTGTGCCTCATCTCACCCCTCAGTCGACCACAAGAGCTCTGGCCCAAGCAATGTGGCTGAGGGGCCTCTGTGGGCAACAAGTCAGCAGCTCCTTGGGGGAGGGGGGGACCAGCTTCCCAACATACAGCTGTGAGACGGAAGAGGCAGACTGTACACAAGAACCAAGGAAGACCTTGGTTCTTGCGCTATTGCTGCCCCTCTGGCCCAGGTTCTGCTCATGCATTTGCAAGGTCCAAGCCTCATCAGCCTATGCTAAGTCCTGCTCTTCCACTGTCCATCTGTGGCCTCGCTGACCTGTGATGGGTAAACCTTGTTCCCTGACTCCACTGTTCCCATGGTCAAACTGCACCTCATCAGCTTGATCCTGAGCTTTGGGAGCAGAGGAAGCTTGGGGGGTTTCCTGAACAAATCCACACATTCCAAGAAGCCTGGAGACCTCCAAACTACACAAGTAGCACTGAATGAACAAAGGGAACATTGGTGCCATGGTGAAAGCAAGCAGTGTGGACAAGAGAGACCACAAGCAAAGTCCCCCATGGCAGTAGTTTGGAAGTCTCTTGGGCAGGAGGAGGAAAGCTTAAAAAGTCTTTTTCAACAAAACCCACATCTTCTCCAGAGAGCAGCACCATGAAATCAGTCAGCCAGTGAAGAGGCCCACTCAGCCCAGGGCTAGGAGTGCAGGGCTGTGCTGCCCTGTGCCTCCTGCCCAGGGTGGGGGAATGAGGGCATCAGGTGGTCTGGCGGCTGCTCGTAGCATGGTGAGCAAGGAAACCAGTGGTCCTGACAAGAGTAGCTGGCCACCATCTGGGTCCCCACTGACACCTGGGAAAAGGTTTCTCAGTGCTGCAAAGAATCTGACACTTGGGTTTAAAACTTACTTCACTTTTTATTCAGGAGATTAAAAAAACCCCAGCTTACTTGCCGCTACAAACCCTCAGCACTTCATGTGTTACCATCTTGCTTTTTGACAGGCAGAAGTTTTGGTGCTGCTCAGTGTAATTCTCACCACGCTATGGCTTGTGAAGCACTGCACTCCAGCCTGCAGGCCCGGCACCGAGGCCTGGAAGCTGTGTCCTCTATCTTTCCTAGGAGTCCTTCTGGTGCCACGAGAAGAGTTTGTGCCATTCTGCCACCTGCAGATCAAGCGCTCCCTGGTCCGCCAGCCCGGGCGGACTGGAAAACCTAAGGATGGGGAAAGCCTTGGTAGAAACAGCAAGGGCTGCCCAGGGAGGTGAAGTCCTAAGACTTGAGCACCATCTTCTGGTCAGTATTTGGTTTCTGAGGCCGCTTCTCCTTTAAATACTTCCCCTAACCTTTGGGATGGGAAACTCCCAGAACTAACAAGCTCAAATGGAGGTGGGAGCAGTTGGCCAGGGCAAGCTGGGGAGAGCGGGCCGGGGCTGGAACTCAGTTTTAAGGACAGCACACATAAAGCCAGTGCCAACGAAGACGACAGCCAGCCCCTGAAAATATCAGTCAGAGCTAAGGCTCCATCTCAACCCTATTAGCTGCACCCTACCTGCCTGTGTGCCTGGTGCAAAAAAAAAAAAAAAGCTTACCTACGACCAAAGTGAACCCTAGGTGCCTCTGCACACAGCCACACAGGCACACCTGACTGGAGAAGGGGCAGGGCCTATGTCTCCAGTGGGTGGCCAGAGGGTGGCCGATTCAACTGGATGTCCCTCTGCAAGGGGTCAAGCCGCACTAAGTGGCAGGGGGTCCTGCCTGCTGTATAAACACTGCACTAACCCACTCCAACCTTTGGGCATCAAGGAAAAGAAGATAAATGCTCGTCATTCTCTCTAACCGGCAGGGACCAACATCCATCTAATTGCACTTCATAATGGATTCCACAAACCATTAATTACCAGATTATATTTTAGGAACTAAAGATAAAAGGCTTTGTGAAATTCAGACTCAGAAGGATCACTGACCTGCAGTAAGTATGCAGGCTGGGAGAGCTCAGAGAGCTGGGCACGTACAAGGCAAGCACCCTGGCAGAGGAGCAGAGCCAGGGGCAGCCTGCTACTCCTCCAGGTGCAGGCACAGAGCGACCTGCAGGCTGCAGGTTCATTAGCAACATCACTGACCCCAGAGGGAGCCAGCGAGCCAGGCCTTCAGGGCAGGTGGAAGTATTAGCCTTTGATTAGAGAAAAGGGATGAGAATAAGGAAGAACTGTGAGAAGCAGCCTTCAGGGAAGGCCATGAAGAACATCCCATAGGCAGCCTGTCCTCAGCTGGATGGCCTCACTGGAAACACTCCCAGGAGAAACATGCCAAAGGCTGTTTCAGGAAGGCTACTACTGCAGACCTGGTGGGACCCGGCATGGAAATGAGGGCATCATTAACACTGCCACCTGTCCTGCAGCCACCCTAGTGGCTGGTGTGAGCACAGGCACAGGAAGGAGATGGCGCTGAGCAGAGGGGAGGCTGGCACAAGTGAGGGAGGGCAAGTGTGCTTCTGGCCGGGTGGGTCTGCTGTGCTTTTCTTATTTTTAAATGGCCAGAGGCACAGGCAGGTCTCAGTCCCCCACCTAACTGCCTTTCTGTCCTCTGAGAGCTGCCAGTGTGTCACACTTCCCTGAGCTCAGCTCCCATCCCACTGCTCTTTCAGATTATTTCTGAGGCAGTGGCATAGAGGTCTGAGCAACAGCCTGCGAGGAGGCTGCAGGCTATGGAGGACGCAGAGTCGGCATCCATGACGCAGATGCTGGGTGTGAGGGCAATGGAGGTTCTGTCTGTCCTGCGAGTGAGGTCATCTGGATTGGTGCTAGGCTAAGAGGCTCACTACTCGGGTCAGCAGGAAAGGACAAAGGACAGGTTTCTGAGCTTCGGTGCTGAAGCGGACACAGGGTCCCTCTGCTGGTGAGCAACTGGGCCTCACTTGGCCTCACCACAGATCAGGGTCACAGTGCCATCCAGCAGATCCTCCACAGTCACTGCCACGAGCTCAGAGCTGGTCTGGGAGGCCTGAGAGTCTGGCAAAGTCACAAACACCTGTGACCCAGCCAGCTGGGTCTCCTCCAGGGTGATCACCTGCTCCGGGGCTGCCGGCTCTGAAGTCTGGATCACCTGAAAAGGAAAAAGCAGGAGGCTGCTCTGGGCAGTGTCCACGGTGAGCTCCCCAGAACGTACATGGCTTCCATTTCATGCTGTAATGATGATATTTATATTTTCACCTGAGGAGAGCAATTACTTGTGCCTAATGGGAAGAGGCAAGTCTAATACACCAGTGATGCAAAAGAGAAGGCAGGCAAACAATTTAACTCTGTGTACGAAATTGCTATAATTTCGCTCAGTATGCCATCTCAGGGTGCCTGGACTATATGATTACACACCAGAGAACACTGGCTCAGTTTCTCACATTGGCTTTTCCTGTCTTGAGCTGACACTGCAGAGGGAAAGTGCTATGCTACAGCAACGCCACTGTAGGTGGGTGGCCTCGTGCCTGAAACATGGCAATGGGGTGGTGATTAACCAGAAGTCAGGCCTGCCGCGGTGGCATCCCTGGGCACCTGTGTGGATGAGAGCCTTCTTGGGGAACACACCTTCCAAATCTCAGAGGAAGACAGGGAGGAGCTGTGGCTTCTATATCTCATTCGTTTAGCTCAGCCAGCCAGTACGGTGAGCACCCCCTCTCCTCGGGTCACAATGCCCCTCCCAGACCTGTGCATCTGTGGAAAGCAGCCTTTAGGGCTCCAGGAGAACTCTTCCGTGGTTGAACACACCCTGTTCCTTCCTGAACCTCCAAGATGGTGCTCTGACCTGTGGACCCTAGCGCAGCATGAGGCCCTGGATATTTTTACACCAGTGAGCTCCCAGAGGGCACAGCCACCTGCTCTTAAGAACCAGCCAAGAGAGGAGAGCAAGCACACAAGTGTGGAAGCCAAGCTCAGCTACTTCTCTGTGCTACAGAGTGAGCAAAGCAACTGAGATATTTAATCAACAGCTATCTAGCATCTTAGTTTTCAAACAAATTTTCTTTACCTTAGGGTTGGAGACCCCCATGCAGGACATTTTATCAAGAACTCTATCACAAAAAAGATGAAAGCAGAGAGGGTCTGGTAATGGCAATAGGAGTGTCACCTGGAGTCCTGCCCACCTGACCTGCCCTCTGTCCCCCACAGGCTCTAAGAATTTAGTTTGCACACGACTGACCTATGTGACTGGGCAGTGGGACGTCCAACAGACTAAAGCCTTCATCACTTTACAGCTCCTCTCCAACCCATCCACAGGTCACTGCCAACCGGCTGAGTTCAGTTTCATCTTTTCTGCTACCCTCTCCCCAGATCAGGAGGAGAGGAGAAGACCAGGTAAACACAGGCTGGTTCAGGCTTAGGCTCAAAACACTGACAAAAGGTGAGCTTCTCAGCAGGTAAGGGGAGAAGTCCAGACATGCCCAAATGAGGCTGTGTCCCGCCACAGGAGCCGCCGTGGGCTTGACCTGCAGTGGTCCCCATCTCAGAAAGTGCATAGCCACCCCGAAGGTTGCCTGCACATCCTCCATATCCCAAGGCATCTCTTGGAAGGTGGGAAGTGTGTGAATGGGGTGGAGAAACAAAGAGCCTTCTACTTCTGTAAATTTTCTATCTTAAGGGCTGCCAGGAGACTAGAATTTTCTGTTCCGTTTGGTAAGAGGTCCAGAAACACTTAAGATCATTAATACATTACTCACAGACCCTGAAAGAGCCCTAGGAAGTAAGAATGAGTGTCGGGACCGAGGCCCCTCTATAAATCCCCTAGGAACCCCACAGTTGCAATCTGTGTTCCCAGGGGCCCCAGAATCACCTGCACCATCGGAGAAGTAGCCGCCTGGGTTTCAGTGCCCACCACCTTTGGATGTTCAGATTCCAGGTGGCCATCCAGCTGAGGCTGGGAGGTGAAGAGCTCCCCACAGAGCTCACAGGGGAAGGTGCTCTCCGACTGCTTGAAGTGCTCCGTGGTGACGTGGTGCTGCAGTGCTCCAGGGAAGCGGAAAGTAGCTGCACAGTACAAGCACCTGAATGGTTGGGACCCTGGAGGAGGGGAGACAGAAGAGCTAAGACTGGGGATGGAATGACTGGGAGAGACAGTAGCAGAAAGCTTGAGGAGAGGCACAGCAAGATTCTGGGGGACCTGAAACTAGTACCATTTGGAGGGGCCCTCCTTACAAAAGGACAAACATAGACCAAATGACAAACAGAACTAGATGCAGAGCCATGAAGGATCCCTTTCATGTAGAGGGGCTCTCAAAGTCTAGTTTCATTAGCATTAGACCTAGGCTAAATTTGCCTGGGATGAAGTCTATTATCCACTCAGCAGCAGTCAGTAACACTGATGACACTGTCCTTTATTATTCTAAGCTCACTTTCAGCTCCCTGGATGGGACCAATGGTATCTCTGTCTGCTATGGGCTGGAGGCAGTCAGGTGTGGCTGTAACACCTGTGTGTGCACAGACATCCAGACTTACAGGATGCATGTCCACAGCCAGAATAGAGCCCCCACCACAGGATGGTGCACTTGTAATTCACAGGATCAAAATGTTCTAGGAGAGAGGAGGTAACCTATGAAGAGTTAGGTACATTCCTAAACCAGGAATCAAAAGCAGTCTAGTTCACATAACGTTCAGAGACCAAAGCAATAGCCTCCAGCTCTGGGCTCTAACACCACCAGTGCTCTGGTGACAGGGTAAACACTGGGTGGAGAGACACACATATCCACAAGTGGAATCCAAAGTTACTCTGAGAAACTGGATTCGCCCCTCAATCAATTCATTTCCTGTGTTTTCATTTTCACCTGTGCATTTATGAGTGCGTGGCCTCAAATTTAAGTCAGATTAAGACTAAAATAGCATTGAGGCTAAATTACAAATCCTAAATGATAAAAAAAATGTTTAACCCAGTAGCACTTTTTTTAAAATGGCACATCTGGGGCTGGGGAGATGGCTCAGTGGAATAAGCGCTTCCCTGGCAAGCGCAAGGGCCTGAGTTCATTCCCCGGTTTCGCAAAAAAAAAAAAAAAGCACATCTTAGCTGGGGATATAGCTCAGAGGCATAAGCGCCTGCCTGGCAAGAGCAAAATCCTGAGTTCGATTCCTGGTACAAAAAGAGGAGCATTTTACATGGGGAATAGGAGTCTGAGGCAGGTGGAATTCACATTAAAGCTAAGCCTGGTACCTTAAGAGACTCAGCAAGACTCTGCCTTAAAACAAAGAAACAAAAAGGTGCACTTTATAAGTGGCATTTTACACTTGGTGAAATACAGCAGCAACAGTGACAATCACGGCCTAATACCTAAGGGCTACTTACTGGGGCGAGGCTGTAGTATTTCCCAGTTACCCTGTAAGATAGGTACTATAGCTGCTCCTGCTCTGCAGGTAAGGACACTGAGGCAGGTGACTCTTGCCTGGGCATTCTGGCCCAGGGCATGCACACTGACCTGAGTGCTGGCACTTGATGTGAATCTGCAGCACAGCTGGCGTGGGAAAGAGCTCCTTACACTGCTCGCATTCGTGAAACTTCACATCTGTGAGGTGCAGAGGAAAGAAGTGAGGGGAAAGGGGAAAGGGTGGCTCCTCCACGACCAGAGGCATGTCGGGCGAGGACTGGCACTGCCCATATCATCTCCTACCACGTGCGAGCAGCCTTAACCCTGAAGGAAGTGTGTGCAACTCAGTGGTAAAGAACACTGATTTGGACCAGCCTGTCTGGATGTAGAGAGGGTTTGAGAATTTAAATGAAGAAATACACATAGAGTGCTTGGCTGGTGCCCTACACACAGGAAATGCTCGGTAACTGACAGCTGTTGTGATTATGCCCAAATTTATCTGCAAGGCAGGTATTAATAACTCCCATTCTGAGAAGGAAACAGGCTCAGAAAAGAGAAGTCACTTGCCAAGGTCATGCAGCTGGTAAGTGCTGGAGTCAGGATTCCCTCCCAGGGAAGCCTGCCACCAAAGCTGATACCCTTCCCACACACTGTGACTAGGTCTTGCTTGCGGGCTGGCAGGATCACACTGCTCTAGGATTCCAGGAGTGATAATTGCTGCCACCTAAGCTACTGCTACCGATGGAGGGCTGTGGCATCCTTCAGGGGTGCTGAGACCGAAGGGTGGAGTCGGCTTAGCACAGCACACCACAGCACTGAAGCCAGCATTTCCAGGTAGAAGCCAGGATGCTCATGCATCAAGCCCCTCCCACACACCAGCTCACACTGGGACTGTGGCCCCCCAAACTCACCTGCATGCTCTGCTTTGATATGCTTCTTGTGCTCAATGGTGTTGGAAAAGGTTTTATCACAGGAGCTGCACTGGAGTGATGAGAATTTGGATGATCGATGGTTCTGAGCAGCGAATACATCAGGATGGTGGGTCCGATTGTGGTACCACAAACCAGACAATTGCTATAAGGAATTTAACAAATATTAGGTCCCAGAGGTCCTCATGAGAGAGAAAAGGTGTTCCGAGACAAGCTCATGGATCTAGAGTCAGACCTTTACCCATCACACAGGGTGCACAGCTGAGGAGAGCCTAGGCAACTGGGAACCTAGGAAGAGGCTAAGTCCTCCATGCCCCTCACTGCTCACAACAAGCTGATGGGGATGTTAGTACCCTCCCAGTGAGGCAGAAGCTGGGGCACAGAGCGATTAAGTGACTTGCCCAAGGTCACACAGTCGGTAAACAGGAGGAGTAGGAGTAAGCCTGGCCCCCTGCCTGGAACATCTATTTTTCAGACTGTGATATGCCTTGCTGCTTCCCAAAAGTCCAGGGGTGTAGCACAGCAACCTGCTGGAGGAAGAACGCGTAGGCTCCAGGAGCAAGCAGCCCTCTCTGCCCCAGGTTCCAGAATAGCACTGAGAATGCTGAATACAATTCTTGGTCTCCTAGAGATCAAGCCCAGGTCTAACTCAGCTGTGTCATACCAATGCGACAATGCATGAGGCTTGGCACATGTTGCTCTCCATTTCTAAATCAGCTGCTCTTCTTCTATCCATACCTCCACCTTAGAGGTGTCAGCAGGGACATTTCTTTCTGGGAAAGCTTCTCACAGATGAGTTTTCCTTTTATTTTAGTCCTATATGGGGGGTCTGCCCATTAGCTCAGTGGTTTAAGTGCCTGCTTAAACAAAGCAGTGAGGTTCAGGATGCTGTGGTTTGATCCTCAGATCCTCAAGCCAAACCAGACCTGTGCTGAAGGCATCCTGAGGCCAACAACAACAACAAAAAAACCACTTCTTTTTTTTTTTAGTCCTACATGAAATTTTACTTTAATTACATTCCAAGTTCCAAGGTAAAAACACAGAGCTCTTCCCTGGAAGTTTAAAAAAAAAAAAAAAGTAATTCTGGATGGTGATTCACTACCCATCATCACTCTCGTGTCCCTGGAAACAAGTACTGCAGAGCAACAGCGTCTAAGGGGAAAGGCAGCATTCAGCTCAGGACAAAGCTCATGTCTCTGGGCATAGTGGCAAGTGCCTGTAATCCCAGCACTTGGGAGACTAAGGTACGAGGGTCACTGTGAGTTCAAGACCAGCTTGGGCTACAAAATGAGTTCAAGGCCAGCCTGAAACTATCTCAAAAAGACGAAAGGAGGGGAAAAGCTGATGGGTAAGAGAGAGGTGTAAGAACTCTCTGCTTCAGTTACAGCTCCCATTATATCACTGGCCAGATCTCAAAGAATATGAATGACAAATTATTTTTTGGTTTTTGAAGTACTGGGGATCAAACTCAGGGCCTCACCCATGATGAGCATGCATACTACTACGCTGCACTCCCAGCCCGTCCATCAGGAGAAACAAACTGTCACCTCTTGAGGACAAGAAGGGACAAGCTGCAAGTTACAAACGTGAACATCAGGGAGGCAAGTGAAGAACAGGGCAGGCACTGGGGGAAGCTCCCAGTGGCACGGGAAGTTGGGTCACCTGGTAGGCCTTGTTGCAGATTCCGCAGCTGAAAGGCTTCCCTCCGACATGGGTCACCATGTGTCGTTCCAGCATGGAAGGGGCACTGAAGATCTTCCCGCACGTGGGGCAAGGGTGGTATTCTTTGGAATGCACCTCATGAATGTGCTTCCGGTGATCCTGCAGAGTGGGGAAACTCATCCTGCATTTCTTGCAATCATAAGGATCTTCTATGTCTGGTTCCAAGAAGGACAGCAGCAAAGGAAGAGGAAGAGGAAGAGAGGGGAAAAAACACCACAGGCAGCAATTAGTGGAGGATCACAGACTCCAGAGACCAAGTCAGTGCAACAAGGCCTATCGCCCCTGCCTTCACCCTAGGTGGGCCATGACGAGCTTTCTGGATTAACCATTATGCAGCAGCAAAGAGTTCATCCCACTTTCTAACCTAAGTGTCAAATGCTACTTCGCCACTTTCCAAGGAGTAGTATCCTTGCCCTTCCCGTTTGCAGTGACACACTAAGTTTCGTAGTTCTCTGTAGAGATTTCCAGCACACCTTATCATCATTATGTTTTGTCATGAGAAACTATCACGGATGACATTTAGTAAGTGCCTTATGAAGCATGTTCTAAGTGTATTATAACTCCCATACTCTTTCCAACACCCCTGAGTAGGTTCCATTCTTATTTTATAGGCTGGGAAAAAACAGCCTGTAGACAGTTAAGCTAGTGCCTTACCCAAGTGTGTAACTTGGAAATGGCCCTCATTCACAAGCCTACACTCTGAAGCACTAGCTCAACTGCACATGCTAACTTCTCAGTGTGATCTCAAACATAAGTAGCACCGATGGAGAATATACTTGTCACATGGGTGACAGAAATCTTCTGTCTTTTTAAAAGCAACAGAAGGGGCTAGGGAGATGGATTAGTGGAATAAGCGCTTCCCTGGCAAGCACAAGGGCCTGAGTTCAATCCCCAGTTCCACCAAAAAATAAATAAATAAAAGCAACAGAAAGAAAATGTTTTAATAAAATGCATTGCCCAGAAAAAAGGTCCAACCTACATGTCAATCTTACTTGTGTACTAACTCAGATTAATGTAGGAATTCTGACATGCAGCAACATTTGGAACCATTAACTAGTTTCCCTCTGGATGGTGTGGACAGTAGCTCTTGAAATCTCAGTTTCACACTGTCTTTTAAAATGCTTTGACTTATATTTCCAAGAGCAATGATGTGACCCTCAGAAATGCAAGGAATGGCTTGAGGAGATAGCTCGGTGGCCTAAGTGCCTGCCTAGCAAGCACAAGGTCCCGAGTTGATCCCTGGTATGGCATGCCGCGCAGAAATGGAACTGGCCCAGAACCAGGCGTGGTGGCATGCATGCCTATAATCCCAGCACCAGGGTGGCTGAGACAGGAGGATCACTATGAGTCCAAACTGTGTAGCAGACCCTGTATCAAAATAAAATAAATTAGAAAAGAAAAAAAAATGCGAGGAATGGGCAAGGGTGTATGTAGTATCAAGGAGAAAGAAGCTGGATGAGGATATACAGAGCTCCAGGGCATGGCAAAGTATCTTGGGTCCTTTTCATTCTGAAAATTAGCATCTTCCTCCCACTTCCTGATTCTCACGTGATGCTACTAGGAAAAGAAGACTAAAGCACAATGTCATCTTAAGGAATTAAAACTGTGGAGCTGGACCCAAGCCAAATCCCACCCATCTGCAAGACTACTATAACTGGAATTTTGGGACAGTCTTGGTAACTCCTTGGAAAGAAGGGGCCACATCTTGTACTCTTCCTGCATGACCCAGGATCCACTCATGCTGGGCACACAGGCTTTCTGGCAAAATCACCATTGGCTGGATGACAACAGACATAGATGTGTTTACATAAAGCACATGTTGCGAGACACATTTACCAAAGCTAGAAGCTGGTATGTGAGAAAACAAGTGGGGAATGGGGAGGGGAAGAAGGATATGCAAGGTGGCTGGCTTGCAAATTAGACAAGCTCTGAAGGTGACAGGTGGTACCCAACAGGGGTGCTCTTATCACTAATAATATCTGGCATTTACTGAACACTTCCGTATGTCAGGCATGGAACTTCATGCTTACATGCTTATTTAATTCTTACAACAATCCAAGGCAGTGGCATTGTGTTATTTGCTCTTGTCTGGAAGGGGCCTAAGAGGCTTTAGGAAAGCAAAGAAATTTGTTTAACGTCTCCAAAAAGTAAGTGGAAGGGTCAAGATTCATGTCCAAGGCTGTGTGATTTCAAAGTCCAAGCGTTCAATTTTCCTGCCCCTCTACACGCTGACGACATGCTACCTGCATCAAGGGAGACTGCGGAAAGCACGGGGGACCAGCCATACCATGCGATAAGAGCCCCAGGATTCATTTTTCCTTTGCACATGCACATGTGTGAATGTGTTTTGAATAAAAGTATATGCCTGTAACCGTTTTAGAAGAAAGGGAGAAAGACAGGGACAGACTGAGCTGAGGGAAATACATTGGTACCTCAGTTCATGAATGCTTGTTTGTGAACTTATTTGGTTTGCAAACTCTCAACAGGTAATGGACACGACTGTGACCATCTTTTTTGTACAAACTCAAACATGGCCATTTTCCTCAAAATCATGGGATGAATTAAGTGCATGACCTGAGGTACTATTGTATAATACACTTGCCAGAGAAGGTTAGACAGGAAGCTTTAAAGGAACATGCCCAGCACTACCTAGGATGGAAGAATGAGCTAGAACAAAGCCAGGCTTGCTCTTACAGGAAAAGGTAGGTATGAATAGACAATGAGAGTGGAGGAAGGTTGAGGAGAAAACAGCAGCTCTGTGGATTAATGGAAACACTCCAGTTCCCTGGGAGCCTGTCAGTCTCAGAGGCATCTCCTTCAAATATAATTTGTGTCTGTTCAGGCCATATAATGCCAGGTGGGCTAAAGAGGAAGACAGGAAACAGCCTAGACACACAGCAATCAGCATCATACAGTGGAATAATAAAATGGGATTCTTTTGAAATGGGAAGGAGAGACTGCGGGCTTTGTAGGAGACTAAGGGAGGGAAAGGAGGGCACTGAATGGGGCCTGGCTCTGGTGGAGGGATGTCTCTGTATGATTGCTCACCCTTTCTCAGTGCCAAGCCTGGCCCTGAGTGCCTGACCCCCACAAACTCAGTACATACTGTGAAAGGTGTGCAGGTGGATGGAGAGGCCATTAGCTTGCCGGAAGCCCTTGCCACAGTCCCTGCAGACATACGGCTTGTCTCCAGTATGAGTCCTGACGTGGCGGGACAGCTCGATGGACTGGGCAAACACAGCATCACAGTACTGGCACGCATACATTTTTCCTGAAAATATACATGGGATTGTGAGAACTAGCATTAAACATAGCATTCCTACAAAATCAAATTCTAAGAATCCTATCAGGGAAATGTCCTCTGGGAACTAACATTAAAACCTCAGGCAATCTGTCATACACTGGGTAAGAGGTCTGACCCATCCTTTCAAATGTGCAAACACAGCCCTTCACATCGAAGGTGAGTGCAGAGGACAGAGACAGACTTCCCATCATGCAAGAGAAGCCATCTCTTCATCAGACCACCACACGAGAAAGAGCGCATTCTACCCTGGCCAACATATACATCCCTGTGAGTTTACACCACCTGGTAAAACTATGGATTTGGGACTACAAACAAATACGAAACATGGATTCAGAAAAGAACAAAACTGGTTTTTGTAGCACTGAGGACCAAGCCCATGGCCTTTGCATTGAGCAACAATTCTCAGATTTATTTAAAATTTTTGTATTTTGAGACAGAGTTTCACTAAGTTGCCACAGCTGAGCTTGTACTTGTGATTCCCCTGCCTTGGCCTCCCAGAGCGCTAGGATGTAGGTAGGTGGCACCAAACTCAACTTAAAATGAAAGCTTTTTTTTAGGGACTTGCTGTGAAGTTGTTACATATCCCTTGGCTTCCTGACTTTCTCACACACATAATGAGGACACAGTAACTACACTACCAAATATTGTTAGAAAAACAGATAAAGGGCAAGTCTGGGACTGGCACTGGCACAGAAGGTTGGCCAGCGGAGCCTCCTAGTTCCCTCACAGGCCAAGGGAGGAAGCAGAGTAATCAGGGAGGCGAAGCTCAAGGAGAAGAGGCTGCAGACCAGTCCTTCCCAATCCTAGGCCCTACTTCAACCAGGGCAATTAGCCTCCTCATATTTTACCTACTTGGCTTTGAAATAAGATTTGCTAGGGAAAGGGGTTTCTTGAATCAAAAGTTGCAACACTTTGAGAAGCCTGGGGGCTTAGTTCTTGATGTTCTCTACCCTCACTTTCCAATCTCACCTCAGAGCCTGGTACCTGCCTCCACATTAGTGGCTCCACTGTCTCCTAAAACTCCCCTATTTAAAACTCCCAACCCTGCATGCTCCACCTTTCCTTCAGAGCTCAACCAAGCATCTCAAATCAAAGCAGGGCTCCTGTAACCTGCCACACAGCCTCCCACCTCACTCAATGAGATGTCTCTCACTCTGCTGCTCATGCCCTAGCCCCACAACCATCCATAATTCCTTTCTTCCCCTATATCCAACCAATCACGAGTCCTGTTATCTCTACTTTCAAAAATACATCCTCCATCTGGAACACTCTTTCGACCCACGACCTCCAGTGACCATGCCTCTCCCTTGGGTGGACCACTGTAACTGACTCCCTCTGCCTCTCAACCCTCACCCTGAACTGGTTCACAGAGTCCTGAGCTAACAACTAAGAATGTAAATCACACCCTATCATATCTTTGCTCAAAATCCTCCAGTGGCTTCCTGTGGTCAGTGGATACGGTCCAAAGATGCCTATATTCCGAACCCTAAAGCCTGTTAACTGCTATCTCACTTAGCAGAAGAACTTGGGGCCTGTGACCAAGTCAAGGATCTTGTGAGGGAAAGATCATCATGGATTCTTCAGATGGCCCAACAGAATCCAAAAGCTCCTGGCAGATGGAAGGAGTGACAGAGGCACAGGCTGGAGGGATGTGGCCATGAGCCATGGACTGTTGGTGGCACTTGAGGCTCGGAAAGGTGAGGAACAAGCCTTCCTCTAGTGCCTCCATCAGAAGGAACACAATTCTGCAACCTTGATTTCAGCTTCATCAGACCCATTTTTTTAACTTCCAGCCTCAAGAATGGGAAGGTAACACATTAGGGATGTTTTAAGCCATTATTCTGGCAATTTGTTAAAGCAGCATTGAAACTAAGCTTCTTCATGTAACAGCGCAAAGTCCTTACCTGGCTATGAGACCCAAAAGGACCTGGCTCAATGACCTATCTGGCCTTCACACTTACCACGCTCCCCTCACAGACTCTGCTTTAGCTACTTCCAGTTCTCCATGGTCTCTCAAGCAGATAAAAGCTCATTCCCACTCTGGAGATCAGGTTCTATGCTTGACACTCTTCTCCTAGGCCATCTACTGGTTCCCCCACTGTATTTGAGTTTCACAATTAAAACCCTCTCTCACAGGAGTTGCTGATGGCAGGAACAGCACCAATCTTGTCATTTCCCTGCTATCTGGCTTTATTTTTCTTCATAGCAATGGCTATCCTCTGGATTTCTACTGCAGATTTATCTACTATCTTATTCCTTGGAGTGTAAGCTCCATAGGCAGAGGGTGTATGTATTTATAATATCCCCACGCAGGGAAAAGCACTCAAGAAATGCTTTGTCAACAAATATGTGAGGGTTGATTATTGTCAAGTTTCCTGAATTCAGTGTGTGTGCGTGCACACACTCATGCGCTGTGAGCTATATCTTCATAGAGCTTATACTCTAAAAAGAGAGAGTACAAATTAGTAATGTAGACATCCAGTACATGATATGCACTATGGAGAAGAAGGATAAGGGGATGAGGCTGGGGTGCTGAGATTCTCTCCGGGTGGCTGGAAGGACTAGCAGAGGGGAGGTGTGAAGGAAATCTTGGAAGGAGGTGAGGAAGTAAAACATGAGAGGGAGGTGCTCCAAGAAGGAGAACAGCAAAACCCAAAGTCCTTGAGCAAATGCCTGGCAGGGCTAGGAAACTAAAATGGGCAGAACAAAATAAGGGAGCGAGAAAATAATGAGAGAGGAAGTCAGTGAGGAATCAGGCAACTTAATCACGGATGGCCTGGCAGGCTATCAGAACTTCAGATTTCACACTGTGTGAGATGAAAGCCACTGTAGAGTCCTGAGCAGAGAAGTGACCTGAAGTGCTTTAGTTTTAAAAGTACCAAGGGAAACGCCAAGAGCAAGGAATTGGTCAGGAGGGCATTGTAACAATGCAGGGGGGTCCTACATGCTGTGCTGGCCCCACCTCTGGGATATGCTGAGCTGGCAAGAGTCTGGGCATGGTGGTGCATGCCTGTAATCCCAGTGCTGGGGAGGCTGAAAACAGGAGGATCACCACAAGGCCTCTATGTCTAGTGAGACCCTGTACCAAATACTCAAATGAAGGGCCAGCCAAATAGCTCAGCAGATGGGGCCAGGGGTTAGATCCCTGGCCCTGCCTGCTGGCCCCACCCCTGGGGACACACTGAGATGGCAATTCAGACTGGGTGTGGTGGCGCATGCCTGTAATCCCAGCTCTTGGGAAGCTGTAAGCAGGCAAATCACTATGAGTCTGATCTAATAGTGAGACCCTGAATACCCTGTAGACTCTTCCCTAAAACAGAAGAAAAAAAAAGACATAAAATGTTAAGAGGCCAGGGAGATGGCTCAGTAGAATAAGCACTTGCCTGGCAAGTGCAAAGGCCTGAGTTCAATCCCCAGTTCTGCCAAAAAAAGAGAAACTTCCCTAAACAATGCAGGGGAGATGCTGGAGGCATTATTAGTTATCCACACATGCTCCAAACCATATCCAGACTCCTCTAGAAGCCTTTCCTGACAGCAGACTTCCCTCTAAAGGAGCTAGAACTCCTTCACCACACGCCGCAGGGTCCTGGTATTCCTCCATACTACACCACTGGCCATCTGTACTCTGACTGGCTCTCTGCCTCCCACCCAGGTCATCAGCTTGTCACTCAGCGTCTGGCACTGCCTGACCCACAGCAGGTGCTCCAGGAGGTCCTTCTCATGCTTGAACTACACATCAAAAGCTCAAAGAATTTCTGGCCATGCAAATCCTGTAACTATAAAGTCACCATGCTATGCTGGCCAGCTTTCCCCAGAAAGCCTCACAGCAAGCGCGCGACACGCCTGTGCACAGGTGGAGGCCTAGTCGTATGTGCACCAAGAGCATGAGTCCTGATTTTGTTTGTCATTTCCCTGACACATATATCGTCCCTGATACCAAGTGGGTTTGCAGCAGCTCACACTGCACAAGTCTGCAGGAGACAGGAGCAGCATCTCTGCCTCACCTTCTGAGTGCTTCTTCTTGGTGTGGTAGGCCAGGGCTGAAGCTTGGGTGAAGGTCATGAGGCAGTGCTTGCACATGAAGGGGCGGTCCCCGGTGTGTAGGCGGAGATGGTTCTTCAGGGTGGAATTGGCTGCGAACTTGGCCCCACACTCCTCACAGGAGAAAGGCTTTTCATCAAAGTGCTCTGTCAGTTTATGGTACTGCATTCCTGGGGGGAAACAGGAGAGAGACTAGCAGCCAGTTCAGCAACACTGCTTAACAGCACTGGCTCAGGCCAGACTTCAAGAGGAAGCACAGTGCACAACCGCCTTAAAGAGACTCTAGCCAGGCAGAATGAGGCAAACAAAACACACTTTTATGTTTCATTAGGTTTACCCAACATCTCAGACAAGGAAAAACAATTCTGAATATACATCCCATGGTTTGTTACTTCCTACTATTACCAACAAGCAAATCCAAGATTCAACTGCTAAGCGGCTAGTTATTATTAAGTAATAGCAGTAATAACTTCTAAGTTATAGTGTGCTAACTTGAATAGGCACCAGAGTAGAGATTCAGCTCTGTTACCTTAAACTCTCCTGAAGATTCACAAAAGGTAGTGCCAGATGGGGAATCAATGCTCAAGTAGCTGACTTCAGAGCCTATGCTCTTCTAGAAATACTGTTCTTCTTAAGAACCAGCTCTATTTTCTAAGCCCATCCACTTTCACAGCACACAAGTAGGGGCCAGACTAGCATCTGCCCTGATTATCCTCATAACTTGACATTCTTGACCGTACCTGAGGCATGGGCAAATTCCCTTCCACAGAGGTCGCATGTCACTGGCAGCCTCTTCTTCTTCTTCTTGGGGACTTCTGGGTCTCCACTTGCACCATGGGCCTCCAGCTGATGCTTCTCCAGCTCTTTTTTGGAATCCTTGGTCTCACTGCAGTCCTTACACTGCATCTCTTTGCTCTTGGCCACCCGGCAGCGCTTCATGTGCACCTTCAGGCGGCAATAGAAATGGAAGCTCTTGTCACAGGCCTTACAGACGAAGCTCTTCTTGGCAGAGTCTGGGCAGGCAGAAGTGTCTTTTTCTTGTTGTTCTGGCAAGGAACCAGCCTCTCCCTGGCTGTTCTGTTCTGCAGGCTGGCAGTCACTTTCCACAGCCTTTTTATTTTCTTTGTCATTGGCTTCAAGGTGAAATTTATTACTAACCTTCCACATTTCCTTCTCTCCACTTTCCTTAGTAAGGAAACCTGCAGAGAAGAGAAACCTCATGGCTCTGGGAATTCTGTTTCTACTTTTCTTTATAGCTTCTCTAACATACTCTTAGAGGAGACTAGAGACTTGAGAACCTCAAAACACTCTTGAGTATCTATCACTGCCACCTCACCTCCCCATAAACACCAACTGCACTGTGTTCTATCTGCATCTTCTGGCTGACAGAGACTGAGAGCATAGAAAAGGGTAAATAACTTGAGGTAGCACAGCCTTTTACATGAGCTGTTGCTTCTTGTCCTCAATAAAGAAAGAGCCTGGGGGCCTAATAGGACCCCAAGTCCCTATTCCTTACCAATTTGTGCCAACTCCTGCATGACAGGCTGCAGGCTTGGGAAAGATTTGTGGACACTGCACAGGAAGTGACAAATTTCAATGGCTGAAACTGATTTTTCCATGGTTCTGCTCAGCATCGCTCTCAGGGAAGCTTCGGGGCTCGCTGTCTCAGAAGAAATGCTTAAAATCTAAATGAATATCACAAGGCAAAGAAGTGGGATTAATACCAGCAGATTTCCCCCATAGTTTCCAACTTAAAATAAAGCTAATTCTAGAAGGGACAGCTTCATCTATAAGCAGTTTCTACTTGGCCCCACAATACATGTAATGGGACATCTCTGTTTTCCAAAGGCAGGCAAATGAACAAAACAAAAAGAGGAAGCAGGTATCAAGATAAATGTGCAAATACAAAGAAGGTACAAACAAGGAACCATTCGTATTTTCAGTAAAAATCATGTTGTTAGCAACCAGAAGTCTCACAGAGAGCTTTTCTAGATCTTCACATTAAAAGCCTGGAGAGGTATAGGATTTGGTGACTGGTCTTTCTGTCATGAAGATCAGGATAATTTTTCATAATGTATAATTGTCTCAATGTCTGGAAGTAATTCTGCATGATCAGTGGCTTCATATTTTTAGACGCTTAGATGTACCCTTTTAAGCATCATTTTCTTTCATAAAGAAACAGCGTTCTAAAGCAAGTTCAAATAGGGGCTTTAAAGAGGCCAAGAATATGATTTCAAAGCCGCTCTCTTTCCGAATGTTAGAGCTATCAGCAGAGAGTCAGCATACTGAGAAAATAAAGTGAAACCATCCACAGATGGCCACATGGAATTTTCCTTTTGGAAGACATTTTATTTCTGCTCTTTTCAAGTCTATCTAAATAAACCTAATGTCCCGGGAGGCAAGCATGAGACTAATTAGGAGGCCAAAACTGATCAAGTGCAGAAGCCCCACTCTGAAGTGAGCAATGTGTGGGAGAAAGGCTAGCACCTAAATCTTGTCTCTGAAGCCCCACAGAGACATGGGCCACCTCCTTTCCAACTGAGAGTCAGACCGAGGTCGGCCTGTCAGTGGTGTGATGGTCAGAAACCCGCCCTTCTGCACACCTCCCACGCCTACCTGGATCAAAAAGGCACTACAAGTGAATTCATAGTTTAATTTTATATACCTTTATTCTAACTCCCTATTCAAGATGTACATGATCCTGGGCTAGACACGCACAAATCCCCCCAATCCCCACCTGGTTTTTCTGGGATGCTGGCCACATTGTGAGAAGCATTACACAAAATGAGTTGGCATTATTTGCTGCCCCATATGGGCAAAGCTTTGTTCTATCTATGTTTATCTTGGCTCCTTCAAGGAGTCAGAATAGAACATGTAATAAGACCAGCTTTACTTTCCAACATCTGAGAGACACTGCATCTCAGAACATGTTCAAGAACAGAATCATAGTTTCCCTTGAGATGTACCTATGTGCAGACAGTTGGAATAAATGTAGGTATGAGTCGTTTACCTGGGATCAAGTCTTGATCACTGAACATGTAACTTAACCATGTAAAGCCTGATCTCCACTCCCTGTAAGATGGCCCCACCCAACACTTGAAGCTGGAAGGTTAAAACAGCCAAGGTTATGAACAAGAGCTTAGCCCAGGACCAGGCACACAGCAGACAGATACTCAGTTGAATCTCCTGTCAGGAATGAAGACAGTCCCAGGCATCAACCCTGAAAACCTCTTCAGAATTTCGTTTGCTTTTTATTTGCCCACACCTCTTTCAAACTCCCAGCCAGCTGCTTTTCTTCCGAGGAAAAGGACTTGAGCTCACCCCTCCGTTGGATGGCCTCTATGATCAACTTGTTATGCCTTAGGACTATTTCTAAGGCAGTAGTTTCTGGGGTTGTCACTGAAAGAAAGGGACATTGGAAACTCAGTCAAACTAGAGCTCCCATTTTCTCTTTCATCTTCTTCACCATAGTTCATAATGAAAACAAATTTAATCTGCTTCCCTTCTAGGATTGAGTATGAGGAAAATGACAAAGAACACTGCAATAAGAGTATAATAATGAATATAAGTTTAGAATAATTACTGCAATTTTAAAAAAGGTTTTTAAATGTCATATCCTTGAAAAAAATTTCTAGTCCTGTTTTAAAAAAACTGTACATATGGGCTGGGGAGATGGCTTGGTGGTCTAAGCACCTGTCTGGCAAGCGCAAGGACACAGGTTTGGTTCCTGGTACCCCATGCCATGCCAGCCCCAGAATACTGAGTGTACTATGCCAGCCACCTAAACCAGGTGCAGTGGCACACACCTGTAATCCCAGCACTGGGAAGGCTGAGCCAGGAGGATCACTGTGAGTCCAAGCTGCATAGCAAGACACTATACCAAATAAACACTGTACATATTTATGGAGTAATGTGATACTTTCATGCATGCATATATTGTATAATGGTCACATATGGGCAAGCACTTCTATCTCTTTAAACACCTTTGTGAACACAGTCAAAATCCTTAATGCGGGTATGGTGGCACACACCTATAATCACAGCATTCAGGAAGCCGAAGCAGGAGGATCTCTGTGAGACTGAGGCCAGCCGGGACTGCACAGTGAGTTTAAGGCCAGCCTAAACTAATCTTGTCTCATAAAACATTCACATTCCTTTCTCCTAGCTCTTCTGAAACACACAGTATGTAATCATCACCAGCAGTCACCCTACTGTGCAAGAAGATCCAGAACTTCTCAGTTGTTACTCCTAAAGACAGAGATGCAGGCACCACAGGAAGGAACTTTTTCTGTTCCTCAATAGATGGACCGTAACTGGAGGCAAAACCACAGCAGAGACCAGGCCACTGACCTGCCCAGAAGAAAGCACAGGCGCCAGGCTCCTTCCGTATTTCATCCATGAGCAGGCTCAGGGGGCAGGTCTTTGTGTCCTGAGCCGCCAGAAGCAGCTGCCAAAGGGCTGTGGCAGAGAGAATCTGCTTTTCTAGAACTGCCGTCACCAGGGAACTGAAACCGCCTGAGCCAGAGCTCTGTTTCACAAGCTTCTCCATGACCTTCAAGACATAACACAAACACACATGAGACTCTCCCACCTGGCCCGGCTGCGGAGTGCTAAGTCTAGGGACTGGGTTACAGTAAGTGTATTTCTGTGAAAGAATCTGTCAACATGCTTCACCTCTCTCAACCTAGGAGATCTTCTTTTTATTTTTCTAAATCAAATTTATTTGGGGGAGATCAGCTGGGGATGTAGCTCAGTGGCAGAATGCTTGCTAACCACTTGTGAGGCACAGGGTTCCTCATTTCCAATATTGAAGGAAAATAATTTTTTTTAAACAGAGATTTCCTATGTATGACTAATTTCTTCATTTTCCCTTTCATGAGTTACTTCTATTTCTCCTCTACTCAACATCTCTCAATGCCGCTGTGTATGTGTACATATAGAAAATACATGAGCGTCTGCTGATATTTCTCCTTGTTACCCTCCCCTCCTCTCCTCTTCTACACTCTGCCGTGCTCTTACCTCTCTCTCTCCGGGGGCTATACTCTTCACATGTGAGATCATCTTTAGTAACATCTGGTTGTCTGTGAAAATCTCAGAGAGGTTTTCATGATACCGTCTCAGTAGCTCAGTCCCATAATCATCAGGGTTTGGCTGGACTATATGGAGATTAGCAAAACAACATTGTCTGAACACCAAACCTCCTAACGGCTTCTACAGAGGACTAAAGACATTACAGATGGGAGCACCAGCAGAGGCCAACTGCTGGCTCGGGCCGCACACACCTGTTCAGATCTCCTCCAGTTTTGACACTCGGTGCTGCAGGGTCATAAAATCACTAACACTTTAGATAGGGAGTGCCCAGTGGTAGAAGCCAGTGGCTGCCCAATAGGAGGGTGATGAGAAGGCTGCGCAAACAAGAGGTTCAGAGGCACACACAAGGTGTACTGGCTGTGAAGCCCACGTGGTAACCCAAAGCATGAATAGCCACGAGTCAGGGCTATGCCTGTCAAGAAGGTGCCCCACAGGTCTGTTTAGACACTCTCTGAGCCCATTTGTTAGCTATAATGTTAAGAAGTTACACTTATTTGAAAACAAAAATCAAAGTGATCGGTCTTATCTCTTAGCTTTGCAGATATTTAAAACTTTATTCTCCCTTTGACCCAATATATTCGCTTCTAGAAATTATTTATTTATTTATTCCATAATTTCATTGAGAAACAAATAGCAATGAGACAGTTTCAAACCAAATAGGACAGTTTTAATAATTAACACATTGCATACATTCTTCCTAGTGGTTAACTGCTGTATAAGATGTGGACATGATATCCTATTTACAAACACCATTAGAACAAATCTCTATTCATTAAGAGAATGTAACTATATATCTATCCTAACCATTTTGAATACACAGATACAAAATGGACATTCATCTGTCACTTCTGGAAATTTAATCTTTAAAACAACATGTACAAAGACTTGTATTTACTGAGGTCCTATTATGAGCCAGGCATTATCCTAAGTGTTTCATAAGTATTATTTCACAGGAGCCACAAAAATGAATGTGATAAGGACCACTCTCAGAACCATTCCAAGAGGTTACGTCACTTGCTCAGGGTCACAGAGTGCTGAAGTGAGGCTATAAGCACAGGTCACTTTGACATTAGAACCTAGAGTATGAACCATTATATCATCCCTGTACCCAAGTAAGGGCATGAAAGTCAACCCTATGATGGAAAACTACTTAGCCTTCAAAAATAGGACTATGTGACTGGCTGCAGTGGTGCACAGCTGTAACCCCAGCACTTAGGAAGCTCAGGCAGGAGGACTGCCATTAAATTTGAGGTTAGTCTGGGCTACATCAGCCTGCACTACATATTAAGAATCTTGTCTCAAAAAAAAAAAAGGAGTAATAATAAAAAAGGGTTATGGGGAGTTTTATGAAGTGTGGGGAAAATGTTACACTGTTATGTGGGGGAAACATAAAACACAGGAGCATCTAAACACTGTAAAAATCAAGTAACAGATAATATATGTCAAAATGTTAGTACTGATACACTTGGCAAGACTTAAGGTTGTTTTCTTTTTCTTTTTGGAATTATCCAAGTTTTTAAAGTATATTTTACTTTTGTAAACTAAAAGCTCTCCAACTTACCAAGTATCTTTTTTTCTTAAAATCATCTCAGTTCTAAATGTTGTGGGTCAGAAAATGGGGTCCAGGCAGAGTTTTTGTTTGTTTGTTTGTTTCATATGGTAGCAGGGATCAAACTCAGGACCTTGGGCTTGCCAGGTAGGTGCTTAAGCTGCTGAGTTATACCCCTGGCCCAGGTAGACTTTCTGAGGCAGAGGTATGGATTCATTCCCCCAGGGCTGGAGAATGTTGGAGCCAAGCGCACTCACATGGGAAATGGGGCAATGAGGCTTGCATTTCTGCTGCGCACATCTATCCACAAAACTTGTCAGAATACTGAGCCTCGTGAGCCCTCCGTTCCTGCAACTTTCACAGGTGATCCTGGGCAGCCTCAGAAAACCATCAGCTAATAAACCCTGCACCATGAGAGTACCTCAAGGGAGTTCAACAGAGAAGAATCCTTTCTCAGAATTCACATCTTTGCTCCAGAACACTGAGGACCACTGATTTCTGACTTTCTGATTTGCTACAGCATTTCCTAACATTATCTTATATTCCCAGATGGAGCCAAAGGGTATCATAACCTGTAATTTTCTGTCAGGAGCTCCAGTCCAGAGAATGAACAATTAACTAATACCTGCAGTGCTGGGCAGAGCAGCTAATTTCTGCACATCCTCCAGCAGAAGGCTCAAGTTTGGGAATGTCATCTTCACCGCCTGGAGGACTTTCACCAGACTCTCAGCACTCAGGGTCTTCTCTTCGGTTATTCTGTGCAACATATTTTCTACTGTCTCTTTGGGTGTTCTGCCCTCACAGCAATTCAGAATCACCTGCGGCGGCAAGCAATCAACCAGACAGCAGTTACTGGCAATTCAGAATTTATCTGACACGCCACTGGAAAACCCAACAAGACGGCCTTACAGGATGCCCTGGATCAAGTCCTCCTATGTTGGATTATAGCACAACTCCTGTCACAGTCCTTTTCCTATGGGGTTTCAGTAAAAATCCAAAATATTCTCCAAGCAAGTAGGTTTATGAGAATCTTTCTCTCAATGCTAAGTCTATATATATATTCTTTGCCTTCAATAGCTCATACTTACTGAAATCATCCTTGCACTTGGGCTGTGTGACACTTGTGCAGACACTACCACTAAGAACTAGACTGGCAGTAATAGCGATAATGGTTTTCAATCTGCATTCAGGAAAATTCAGTACAGACTGTTGTTGGTATAGGTTGTAATATTCGGAACAGTTCTCTACTCTTTTACTTTGTCTTTACAGCAATTTAAATATCCAGATAATTTATCTGAAGTCTCCCAAATAATTAAAGCTTTTTTTTTTTTTTGCTTTCTTTTGACTCTTTTATATCCATTCCTTTCATTCTAATGGCCAATGTATCAGTTCTAGTCATAATTAAACAATTACACTCCCTTGTTGTTCCTCAGTGTGCCAAACGACTTTCTGAGTCTAAAATGACAAAGAGCTCTAGCAAAGGCTGAGAAATAAAACATGAGCCAGGTACTTTCCTATAACAACAGAACCATCTCCTAATAGACTATAATGTAATATGCACAACATGGCTCTCACAGAACTGATAAAGCAAAGATTATTTTAATATATGTAATCCATAGACTTATAGTAATCGAATTCTGAGACTTCGTTTGGAAAAATGTCAGCTCTCAGGAGAAACAATCAAGCAGATCAGTCACGGTTATATGCCAGAGGCTGCCATCATCAAATTAACTCTCATTGTAAAATAATGAACTTAGCTTTAAAGCCAGATTGGCTGTGGCTTTATATATAAAGAAGATATGTGTGTGTATGTGTGTGTGTGTGTGTGTGTGTGTGTGTAAATCAAGTTGTCATATTCCTTGTCAGTATAGAACATTTTCTTTAAGATCTAATATATGAGTTCTACCAAATGAATCCAAATTTAAAATTTAAGAACTTATATTTTAAAACTATACTGACTTCACTCCTATACCTCAGTTGCTAAGCAATAATCTGATACATCACAAGGCAGCCAGATATTAAGAGTACGAATAGGCTTTAAAATCAGACAGACTGCATCTGTACCTAGTCCTACTATGTATTTCTTGTGTGAGCCTGGGTAGGTTATTTAATTCTTTAAACTTCATTTTCCTCATTGGTAAATAACTGTACTAACACTAGAACAAAGTCATCCCTATAAAATGAAGTTGCTAGCCAAGTGTGATGACACACGTTTGTAACCTTAGCCAGCATTTTGGAGGCTAAGGCAGGAGGATCACTGCAAATTGGGGGTGGGGGAAAGGGGAGAGGAAGAGGAGGAGGTGGAGGAGGAGGAGGGGGAGACAGAGGAGGAGGAAGAAGAAGAGGTGGAGGAGGAGGTGGAGGAGGAGAAGGGGGAAGTGGAGGAGGGGGAGGTGGAGGAGGAGGTGGAGGAAGAGGCAGAGGTGGAGGAGGAGGTGGAGGAAGAGGCAGAGGTGGAGGAGGCGGCAGAGGTGGAGGAGAAGGTAGAGGAGAAGGTAGAGGAGGAGGTGGAGGAGGAGGTACAGGAGGAGAACAAGAGGGAGAAGGAGAAGAAGAAGAACAACAACAACTTGCTATTTATAGAGCCTACCACAGCTCCTAGGACATATGTACTCTTTAAGAAATCACAACGGTGGACCAGCCAAATTGCTCAGCAGATTAAAGTGCCTGCAATGGGGCTGGTGAGATGGCTCAGTAGTCTAAAGCACCTACTTAGAACAAGCTTAGCAAAGCACAAGGGACCGCGGTTCAATCCCCAGCACCACATGCCAACCAGCCCCGCCCCCTGGTGGGCTGAGCTGGCCACATACATAAATAAATAAAAAAAATTAAAAAAAAAAAAAAAACTTAGTTCTTAAAAAAAATAAAAAATAAAAATAAAATAAAGTGCCTGCAAGCAATAACAGGGGCTGGGGCTTCCATCCCTGGGCCTGCTGTGCTGGCCCGCCCCCAGGGTGTGCTAAAATGGCAATTGAGACTGGGTATAGCAGCATACACCTGTAATCCCAGCTCTTGGGAGGCTGTAAACAGGTGGATCACTACAAGTCCAATCTAGTAGTGAGACCTTGAACGCCCTGCAGACCCTTCCCTAAAATACAAAATAAAAGAACAAATTCAAACATTTACCTCTCCACAGGGCCATGAAGAAATGATAATGGTATTCACATGGCTGGGGAGCAATGTGAACAGTGAAGAGAATGTGTTTTATCAGAAGTCTGGCTTGCAGTACTGGCTCTGGCAGTGCCTTTGGGTAAGCTGCATAACTCCTGAAACTTCTACTTTTTTTGTTTTTAAATCTTAAAACAAGAGTAATATACCTTACTTTGTACAGCTGCTGGCAGGGTAAAATTCAATGGTGTTTAAAATGTCTGCAACACATTGTTTGGCGCACAGAAGCACTAAACAAATGGCAGTGACAGTAATCACTACTCTTATGTCCTGAAAACATCCCTATTGGCCACTTCTTACAGAAAGACTTGAAGTATTTAAAGATAATAAGACTAAGATACCCATGACAGGAATAAATTGATTTTTTTTAAAAGTTCTGAAAAGCCCAGTACACATTCCACAATGATGCCAACGCACTGTGGCTACTTGATCAACATTCCCCTCTATGCTCCCCTCATATTAGTTTGCTTCAGTTTTCATGAGAAGGAACAGCTTAATGTTGTGCTCGTGGAATCCCAATCTTAAGGAACATTTTTGTGCTTTATAACTAATTTAAGTTCTTCTGCTTCAGCTTTTACTATCAAGTAAACTGAAAGTGACAGAAGAAAATGACAGTGTGGTCTACCTTGCTGCAGAGAATAAGGCTGAACTTGGCTCTACCGCTAACTGCTGTTTTACCAAGATAACGAAACAGCTCAAAGGACACATTCAATCTAGCTAATAAGGAGAAGGACTGAATGAGTAATAGAACGGAGTCACTGAACAGGGATCAGGTACGTATACTAGTTCTATATGCAACTCACTTAACATTTGTGAAGTTACACTTAATCAAAACTCTTAGGAGGACAATAGTTTACTCTTTTTTTGTGAATTATCTTTCCTGACGAAGTTCAAGAAACTCAAAAATTTTAAACCAGACAGAGGTTGTTCTCACTTATCTATTTTCAATAAGGGATCAGTCCTCCCGTGCATCCAATGCTCAGCTATTATACCAGTGATTTCTGAGCATTTAAGTCACAGCTTCAAGAACCGATACTACTGAAGTTCTCTATTCCTATTTCTTCCTTACAGATATAAAAATATTTTTAGCACAAAGTTAAAATCAATAACGCCAACAAATATAGTTATCTAGTTGCCTTGAGAAGTCATGCTAGCAACTTTATGAGGATTTCAGTAGCAAGCTGGTGGGGGAGTAAATTGGCACAACCTTCCTGAAGGGCAATTTGGCGACGTGTGTCACACACATGAATAGTTTTGTACTCTCCGTTCCAAAATTCTACTTCTTAAAAATTAGTTTAAGGGATAAAAATTATTCTAAGGAAATAATTCAGGAACTAGGCAAGGCTTTGCCTATAAAAACATCTTCTGAAGTATTATTTCATGTTCTAGTTACTGAAATATATGGACATATTATATGTAAAAGCCAAGTTGGAAAACTATGTTCTGTGTGACTTCATCCCAGGATGCATCAACCCAAAAGCAGGAAGAATATGCTCTAACATGTTAGTAGGAATCGTATCTGAGGGGTGAGAGATCTGATGTTTTTTCCTTTTTGCTTGATTTCCATATTTTCTCATATTAACTACCATTTCTATAAAGAGGAAAATTGTCAAAATAAATATAAATGTGCCTAAACATTTTAACTCTTGGCACATATTTATAATAAAAATTCATTAAGTCAGAGAAAAACTATCTTACATCCATCCATCCATCTATCCTTCCAAATACTGACTCTACAGAGCACTGACGGTACCATACGCAGCCCTCGGAACACTGCTGCACAAAATGCATAAGGGGCATTAAACACGAATCTGAACCTGGGAGTGATTACTATGCAGTAGGTATAAAAATCCTGTAAGCTAAAAAGTGCTCTGTGCCAGAGAAGAGGTTTTTCTAAAAAAAAGTGCTACATCAATCTGAGGAGGGAGGAGATACTTGACACAGTTACCCTTTTCTCAGTGCCAGGCAGGAATTCCTCCTTGGCTGTTTCCAGGAACTCCGTAATAGGTCTCAGCTGTGTTACACACTGTATCAGGTCCTCTTTGTGTTCCAGTAACAGAACAGACAAGGTCTTTCCCTCCCCTGTGCTCCCTGGGGGAGAAAGAATTAGAGTCACACAAGAAAAGCTAGTCAATTTGAAGAAAATGACAGCATGGTTTGTCAAGAGAGATCTAACAGAATAGTAAAGTGATTCTCAGCTTATTCTGTGCACCTGAATGCAGAATCGCTTTTAGAGAGGAAAATACTTTATTATTCTGTTTAAACTCTATGAAAGGAAAAATGTTTCATTTATCTGTCGAAACACAAAGCTTCAGAGCCAGCCCAAGGTTAACTTCTGGTTGGCAAGGTCAACGCTTTGTACCTAACCCAAACGCGAGCAACTCCAGCCTCTAAGTGCTGTCAGCGAACCAGCTCATCCTGGGCACCCAAGGCACTGCTTTGGATATGCAGTTTTTGAAAAGGCAGGGGACAATGATGGTATTCTCTAATTCAAGGTATCAGGCTAGTTAAGTAGGGGACAGAAATGGAAACTTATGTTTAGCTTGTACATATTTAATACACAGCTTCTGAAATGAAATGAGAACCTATGTAGAAATCATGTAATAACTAAGCCCTGAAGATACGTATCACCAGAACCAACTTCTATGGGTGGTTACAGGGAACAGCACTGGGGATGAAACCCAGGGACTCATGCATGTTAGGAAAGCACTACCACTGAGCTACATCCCCAGCCCCCACTGAAATCAACCTTAAATCTTGGTCACCGAGGAGGACAGGACTCCCTTCTACCTACCTTCTGGCTGCACTGGGGCTGCATCTTCTGTGTATGGGTCTGACAGTACAGTTTTTATTGCGGGATTAGAATCCTGGCACAGCCTCAACAGGGACACAACGGTCTGCACATCCAAACTCCCGGCTCTGATTTTCTCCAGGATTCTCTGGAAGGCTGTATATCCTTCTTTTCTCTCAAGACATTCCATTACAGTCTGTGGAATGAAGTATCCAGAAAGACAGATGAGCCAGCCACAAGGACTATGCTTGGCAAGCAAAACGCATGCAAGATGCTCCCTCACCCACTGTACCTGCTTCCCCAGAAAGGGTTGCAGCAAACATTGTGCCCCCAGTCCCTCCTCTGAAGACTCCAATTCCATTCTCCAACCTTGGTCAGGGGATACCCTGCCGGGAGGCCTTCCCTAACCCAGCTCCACATTCTCATTCTCTCTCTTTCTCTCTCTCTCTCTCTCTCTCTCTCTCTCTCTCTCTCTCTCTCTCTCTCCACATTCTCTTAATCCAGGTCATTGTACATTTGTCAGACTATATTGTATTTATCTTTTTCTCCTAATAGACTTCTTAAAGCCACATATCATGCTATCCTTAGATAGCACTCTTGTGTTCTCAGCAACCAGCAGAACCTGGCACACAGTAGGTGTCTAGTGCATTTTTAATACACTTAATACACTCCTTACCTAATTATACCTTTGTGAGTCTTATGAAATTTTGAGTATTTCTTAGGCAAGGATATCTGAATTTCAAATTGAATGAACTGTCATTTTATTATTTGAGAATGCAATTAAAATCTCACAAGTTAGGGGAGAAAATCACTTTAAGTCGTTTACATTATGAATGACAGACGATGTAGACAGACATGAGCCTTATTACTTTTAGATATATTCTGTAACAATTAAGGCTAACAATGTGTTGGCTTAGAGTTGCCGGCTGTCAAAGAACATATGATTCACATATTAATTATCCCATTTTAATGACTGCTCTACTGCGTGGGCCTGAAGGGGCTGAAGGGGATTCAGAGTTTCTCTCCTAACCAACACCGAATATACACCAGCCCTGCCTCTGGCCTCATGCCCCTGACCTTTTCGTGGCATTAACACCACCTCTGAGTCACGGTCCTCAGTCCTCATCCGACTGTGGCAACACTGATGCACTGTGGGTGAAATTCTGACCACCTTTTTCAGCTTTCCCCACTGCTCTCCCAAATCCACAACCACAAGCAAGATCTGACTGGTGTTAACCCTTCATCTTTACCTCCTTTTTCAGAATGTTTCAGCCAATTTGGGGGTGTACAACTGTAATCTCAGCATTCTGAGAGACTGAGGCAGGAGGAGGATCACAAGTCTAAGCCCAGCCTGGACAACTTAGTGAGATCTTGTCTCAAAATTAAAAAAAAAAAACCTTCCAAAGACCAAGGATATAGCCCAGTGTGAGGGTTCTGAGTTCAATCCCTGATTTTTACTTTCAAAAAGGGTAAGAAAAACTCTAAACTACTCAGTTTTATCATAGTTTGAAAATGGCTCTGAAAATGAGATTTAATCCCAAACTGTTCCAATCCAGAGCCACACAATTTCAGCTGCTATGTCTTACACAGCAGTGCTCTCAGGGCCACTAACTATGCTCACCATCTTGAATATTTCAGAGTAAAATATCAACTATCCCAATGGCAGAATGTAAATAATGACTGTTCCTTTCTTTGGTCTGACAGAACATCTCTTGTACAGCAAAAGGAAGCCCAATCAGAAGACATTGTTAATATTTGTATTTTAGCAACAGTTTAAAAAAAAAAATGCACCTAAAATGGAAGTTCATGAGATAGTCATATATAGAGTCTTTATACTAACCTTTTAAAAGTTTCCTATGTGTTTTGGTCATCTTCAAAAGTAAACTTTGATAAAACACAGTTTAATAATCTACATTAATATTTGATTGGAGTAAATAACTTCCATGAGCCTAAGGTAACTCATCTATTTTTAAAATAACAAACAAGAAATAAAGGCATGAGTTGAATGATTAATCCCTGTGAGTAAATGAATTCAACTTCTCCTGCTTTTGTGGATCGGCCCCAGCTTGCCTTAGAATGCCCTTCATGGACAGCAGTAGGGACACTGAAGCAGGCAGCCTACAAACAGCTCTTGAGTGATCCATGCCTCTAGATAGACATGCCTGAGAGCTGAACTCCTGGCTTGGTTCTAAGAAAGAGGATACGACAAAAGTAATAGGATGATGCCCCTTCAGAGGGCAAGTTACTAGGGCAAGGACCTCTACCTTGTACGTGCACATGCATATGTGCACACGCTGACTCGCACGCTTTCTCCCTCTCTCTTTGCCCTTGCTCTGGGATGTGCAAGCTGCCACATTGTGGGGTTGCCCTGAGGAAAGGTCCTTGTGGCAAGGAATGGACATTCCAGGCCACAGTCAGCAGATCCTGGAAGAGGATCTTCTAGGGCCAGTCAACAGCCAAGGGAGTGAGCTAAGTAAAAGATATTACCCTTGTTCAGCCTGGATATGGCTACAGCCCTAGCTGATGTAATTGCAGCCCAAGGTGGTCTCAGCCACGCTATTCTGTGGTTCTTAATTCACAGAATTCCAAGTAATAAATGTTTGAAGCTGCTGAATTTTGGAGTAATTTGTTACACAGCAATCGATAATTCATACTGTACCATTCGCAGCTAATATCCTCAGTAAACATGTTTCCTCCTCTTTCCTTTTTCTTTCTTTCTCTTATATGTCTTAACTGATACAGCACACAGCTATCTTGTTTGGTCCTAGGCCAGGTTTTATTTCTTTTTTCCACTGAAAGCTCTCTGAATACCCAAGATTCACCACTCTCAGCAGCCAGTGTGTCTGGCACTATCACTTAAGTGGAGGGGGGGCTTTCATCAGAGGCGGTGACTGATGTGCTTCTCATTATCCTCTCTGCTGTCTCTCTCTCTGCAGAACTACTCAGCAGTGAAATTAAAACATTTGTTAACTCCACTGCTCAGCAGTGAACTAGGGTGACCATCTGGGAAGAAAAGCAGGGGTGGACTGATAAAGGGGACAGGAGGGAGTAGAGAGCTGCCTGGACCGCCCTGCTCTTTCTTCTAGAACCTACTGGGGATGCATACCAGAACCAGTGCTTTTACTATGGTAAGCCATTTCTGAAACAATGTCTGCCTACACAAAAGGGTGTCATATATTTTGATAGGCTGTTACCATAGAATACAGCTGAACCAACACAGTTCTGTCAAAAGGTCTTCTTTAACCCCACATTTGCAACTCTTTTGATTCTTAGGGGCCTAAAGGTACTTTAGTAGATTCATGTCAACATATGGTCACAAAAAGTAATCAAAGTATTTTACCAATGAGTGAAATATTGGTAAAACTATTTAAAGATGAGACAGTTTCCTTTCCATTGACGATGTGGGAAAAACCATTGAATCTTTCCCCTAATACAACTTTTCAATGAATTTACTTTCCCCAGTGGCCTACTACCCTCACATATACCTGGGTTTGCTATACTCTTGTTCACCTGAGCCCTCCCATGAATGCTGAGGATCAGGTCATAGCAATAATGATAGAGATAAAGCTGGGGTGGCTGACTGGTAAAGCACCTGCTAAACAGACACAGAGTCCTGAGTTCAAACCCCAGCACCCAAAATAAATATGCAAATAGATATTAAAAATAATGATATGACCCCTATTAATCAACACCATCCTGGACATTGCAGACTATGTGTCTCTTCAGGCCAGTCCTTGGCAGTGTCACTGCTGCTTACTGTAGATGTGTATCAGAGAGCTTAACTTGCCTAAGGTCATGGGGACAGGGAACACTCTTGATGAAACACTGCACTCATGCTGCACTCCTTCCACTCAGCTCCTAGCACTCTTTTCATTCAGCTCTCACACCTAGATTTCAAGGGTAAATCAAATTCATTTATACAGGACTCCACTGGACTTACTGGAACCCACACCACTAAACACAGGGTAGTACATAAGACAGTTTGTACCATTCTTCTTGGTCTCAATGATTAGTAAGAGACTGTACCTAGTAGGTGCTCAATAAATGTTTGTTCAACTGAATAAAATCTACTGTCCAGGGGTTATAACTGGGTACAGACTGGCAAAAGACACTTCTCCACCCCAGTAGCCAGGATGTCTCATCAATTCTGGCTTTTGTTTCTCACAATTCAAGCAGCCTGCTTTCTTCTCATGTGGCTGCAATCACTGCTCAGAGAATGGCTTTGCCGTCTTTCATCATTTATCTCAAGAAATAAAACCATCAGGACATTGCTGCATGGTGTTCTCTCTAAACTCAATCTGTGCCGGTTTTACACCCCAGGTCTCTGTCTCAACCAGAGTACGCATGAACCTCAAAAGGCTCAAAACTATGCACAGAATGGTACAATCTTTTACTGTTAAGTTATTAGTGATGTTATGATGATTAATCTAATAACAAAACAACCAGCAACAACCAAAAACATTCAAAGCTCTTTGGGAACTAAAACTGCATTAAAAAAAAAAGCAAATGAACTCCAAATGACCTTCTAAGGTTTCACTAAAACTTAAAATAATGTCACTCCAAGTATATAGTTCTTAAATCCACTCATCACTGAAGTTTTACAGTAAATCCAATGATTTGGTGACTATCACACATACTTCTGGTGGTGTGGGTCACAGGTGTGGCAGAATTTCTTTGCTGTTAAGACAATCTGTAAGGGCAGATTGAGGTTTTAGTTTATCTTCCTAGCAACCAGGTCAAGGTTTGGCTTCTCTTGGTCACTCAATAAAATTCTGCTGCATCAAGGGATAGACAAAGGGGAACATTTGGAGAAATGAAGAATTTTGTGGCTATTCACAACCCTGAAGGTGCCACCAGACATTATTACACACACACACACACACACACACACACACACACACACACACACACACAGAGTTTTACAGATCATTAACTTCTGGAGCAGTGCTCCTCAAAATGTGGTCTTCAGATAGCAAGACCCCCCTCTGGAGGACCTGTTAAAGATAGAGTCCCAAGCTCCAGCTCCAACCTAAGACTCAGACTCTTTGGAAGTGAAGTCTGCAGGCATACACTTTAACAAGCACACCAGCTGACTTCTACATACTGACACAGTGCAGATCTCAGGTGTCCTCCAAAGCCTATGTGTCTGGGTCATGGGGGTGCTACACTCATCACTGGATGAGTCCACTGAGCGGTTCAGAGCTGACCTGCAGTGAGGAGGGCTGGGCCTGGCTGGAGGCGGTCACTGGGGTGTGACCTGGAAGGTTATTGTTTCCTTTCTAGACTCTCCCTTCACTCTCTGCTTCTTGGACACCATGACATGAGCAGCTTTCTCCTCTGCTATGCTACTTCTGCCTTGGTGTCTGCAGACCATAGACTGAGAGTCTGAGCCAAAATAAACCTGTCCTTTAAGTTACGGGTATCGGGCACTGTGTCCTAACTGAGATGCGATTAAGACACATGTACTGCACCACAGTTGTTGAGACCGACTGCATCTCATTAGACACTGACCCAACAGCTCAAGAAGCTACTTCCAAGTGGATGGTGGTACCTATCTGAAAGCACATCTTACAAAGTAAGCTTAAAGTAACAGCAAAGCATTTTGTGTGTTAAGAGCAGACAACCAAGACACTGGTATATAGTAATACATTCAGCAAAAAAGGGGCTTAGAGATCTGTTAAGTTTAAAACTACCCATTAATGTACAAATAAACAAGAGCAGTTACTATCTACTAAGTTCCTGCTATGTACTTGATGTTTTACCACGAGTTATATATATATATAATCGTAACTAATTCATAATTATCCTATAATAATCACTCTATGATGCGTCCTCATTTTTTGAAACGTTTTGATAGTACTGAAGACTGAATGTAGGAGACGCTCCCTCAGGCTTTCACAGAGAGCACATTGGCCAAGCAATGGCCGTGACTCATCCACATGGCTGCACTGACAAAGGTTCTACAATCTGAGGTACAGGATCTCAGGATAAATCCTGAGGGCATTTCATTGACCTTCTCAGACCAAAAAGCTACAACTCTTGTTGCATAGGTCCTGCTTTACCTTGGTCTTAACCATCCAGTAGAAAAGTATGAAGACGAAATATAGGAAATAAAGCCATGCTGTTATGTTGAGCTGTGGGGGACTCAGGTCAATAATTTCTGACATTGCCAGTTAAACAGAAGACCCAAGGCTATAATGGGCTACTGGACTCTTAGAATATTTTGCTGAGTTTACACACCTATAATATTCAATAATGGAACTTACAAAAAATGGGGTATACCGATGAATGTCCATTCTGTATCTGTGTATTCAAAGTGGTTAGGATAGATATATAGTTGCATTCTCTTAATGAATAGAATGATTTGTTCTAATGGTGTTTGTAAATAGGATCACAAGTCCACTTCTTGTACAGCAATTAACCACTAAGAAGAATATATGCAGTGTATTATTTGTTGAAGCTGTACTCCGATTAGATTTGAAACTGTCTCATTGCTATCTGTTTATCAATAAAACTTTGAAAAAAAAAAAAAGACTGAATGTAGGACATCTGCACTGAGTGTCATCCCCAGCACTTTTTAAAATGTTGAGACATGGTCCAGACCTTGCAATCCTCCTGTCTCAACCTCCCAGAGTGCTGGGATTACAGACCTGCTCTGCCATGCCAGTCATTGTACCCTTATTTTACACACTGAGAAACTAAAGCTTATAAAAACTAAGTTACTCAAAGTCACAATCTAGTATATGTAAAGATAAACTGCATATCCACACAGTGCAATCAGCAATAAGGAACCTACATGTAACAATATAATGAATCTCCATAATTATGTTAAATAGAAGTGAGACAAAACCAATACATAGGGGGCCAGGGAGATGGCTCAGTAGAATAAGCGCTTGCCTGGCAAGCGCAAGGGCCTGTGTTCAATCCCCAGTTCCGGGAAAAAGAAGAAAAAAAAAATACATACTACATGACTCCATTTATATAAGACTATAAAATATACAAACTAATACAAATTGATAGCAAATCAGTAGTTAGCTGGGGGATGAGAGCACTGAAGGGGACCAGAGAGCAGGATTATAAAAGAATGTGACAAATTTTGGGGGATGATGCAGATGTTTACTCTTTCAATTTTGATGATCAAAATTTACAAATTATATAACTTAAACACAGGTAGTTTACTAAATGTCAATCATACCTCTTTATAAATCTGTCTAAAAAAAAACACACAAAAGAGAAAAGTGGGAGATCTAAGTATAGCGCGGCATCTATGTGTGTGTGTACATGTGTGTATGTATGTCCGGCTGTGGATCAAAAGCAGGGCCTTACGCTTGGTGGGCAAGAGCTCTACACTAAGCAACATCCCCAGCCTTATATTCAATTTAATCTTATGCTCCTTAAGCATCTTTTTCCTTTCCCTTTCTAAAGTTAAAACCTTTACTATGGGCCACAACAGGCAACTTGAAATATAGCCACCAAATGACCTGTACAGCTGCTACTCTGATCTCTAAAACAAAGCAAAAAATAACATAAACCTATAATGATCACCAACAGTAAATCAGCACTCTTCCAAACTACTAATAATGCTGCTGCCATCAAAAGATTAAAGCAAACATTGGAAAAAGAGAAAGAAATGTTGAATGAATCCATAGACAGCAGACGTTTCTTAAACCAGGACACTAGTGTTCAAAAAAGAAAGAAAAAAACCCACCAAAATGTCACAAAACACAATTCAAGTAAGTACAGAGGGATACTAGTAACTTGGGTATTGCTGACCTAAGGAATAATGCTGCTCCTCTGTATTCAAAAGCAAGTGCAGGGAAAGCCTTCAGGGAGAAAATGAAGGTATCAAGATAACAAACTCATCACAAAATGATGGATTTACTAGCTAAGAAAACACAGAAGTGCAAAAATATAAAACCAAAGAGCCCTTCAGCATACTTAGTATGAAGAGAACCATGGATTTATGACCTGAAACCTCCCAAAGAAAGCCACTGAGGTCAACCCTGTCTCACAAATAGCATATCTCCCATTTTGACAACTTACAGTTACAGCCAAATGTCAATTAATACAGTTAAAATCCATTAATGGACCTTACATTTGATTTTTTTAAAAAAAGTAACCTGCTATGAATCAGGAAAACATGTAAATAGTGGAAGCCACAGCCAGCTGAATTAAAACAGTTCCTAACAGACACTGAGTTGACTGAGGACCTCCCTGTACCACTCTCACCAATCAGAAGGGCAAGTCTGCTTTGGGATGGGGAAGTGGGGGGCTCACTCTGCTGAAGGCTGTCAGCAGCAGATAGCAGGGCGGTCAGAGCAGAAACAAGTACCAAAAGTACTTGTGGAGTCCAATCTGAAGGGTCAGGTGTGCAGGAACACACAGATGGGGATTTGTCCCAATTATTACTGCAAAAAAGAAAAAGCTAAGAAACACAGCAAGACAGCTCTCTGATACACTCTTCTGGTGGGTAATCCCTAAACATGTTTATATATGTGAATCATTCTGCCTTATTGGGAGGCAGGAAACAGTGTGCAAAGAGACAGCTTTACAGTCAGAATGCAAGCTGGGATGAGCCTCGGTGGCAGAGTGCTTGCTTGCCACGTGTAGAGCTCTGGGATCCGTCCCTAGCATTGCTGGGTTTGAAATCTGGCTCTGCCTTGGATTCCTATGAGCCCTGTGCCTTGCCAAGTTATATCACCTCTTTTGAGACAATATTCTCACCCATAAAACATGGCTAAAAACATTTAACCCACTTCTGTGACTTTCGTGATTTTTCTGTGCACACTGAGATGAAATATATACCCATCTTAACATAGTGTTAAATTAATGCTCACCATATTTTTATTACAAATGACCAACATATTCTTAAGTATTAGATGCAATTTACTATGTTAAGTTTTTGTTGTTGTTTTGTTCAGGGTCTCACTATGTAGTGCAGGCTGGGCTGGAACTTGCTCAGGTAGCCCAGCCTGGCCTCATACTCATGGTGATTCCTCCTACTTCAGACTCCTGAGAGTTAGGATTACATGTGTGAGCCACCATGCCCAGCTATGTGTTAAATTTATAGCAAATCCTTTTTGTAAATGTTTTGAGTATCTGCTGTTTTATTTTTATTATTTTAACCTCTGATTTGGGGTTATCCATGACTACCTTCTGCCTCATTTTATCCTTGATTTATCAGGAAGAAACAGTGTGCAAGGCTGGGTGTGGTGGCGTAAGCCTCGGTCCCACCCCTCGGGGCTGATAGGGAAAATCATGAGGTTGAGGCCAGCCTGTGCAACACAGCAAGTTCAACAAAAAACCAGGGTCTTAACTGTGTTATCTAGGCCGGCCTTGAACTTGCTGAGTTGCACAGGCTGGCCTAGATAACACAGTAAGACCCTGGTTTTTTGTTTTAAAAGGACAAGAAAGGGGTGGAAAAAAGGAAGTAACACCAATATCAATGATAAGCTGCCATTCTTATAGTGATCAAAATATAACTTCATTTTGTTGTTTTTAACTTTATTTTGAAACAATCCTGCCTAGTGCTTTTGTAAAACTTCCCTATAGAGAATAAAAAACCAAAACATTCAAGTCCGAGAAATTTGAAACCCTGGGGTAAATATTCATATTTCTTCCCCATAAGGAAAGCTACCATGGTATCCTAAGAAAACTGAATTAGAAAAAGATAAAGCTTAGTTTACCTACCTCCTTCTGTGGGCCTTTAATTTCTGGACATTCTTCTAGTCTTTTTAAAATATCCTGAGTAACCAAGAGTGCATCTGAGAAAATAGTCTCATTTTCTAGAAGAAAACTCAGCTGGTAGTGTTTTCTCTCAAATTCTAAACATAAAACAAAATAAAACAAAACAGCAATTTGTTCCTTGAAATGACTATAAAATGACTATACATAAAGTTTGTGGCTGCCAGAGACCCTTCAGGTCAGACTGCACACTTGGCCCCCCAGTGTGGAGGAACAGGCACCGGTATCTCTCCCAGCTCTCTCTGTGTGCCACTCTTGGCCTGCTCAAAGCAATGGATAATGACCAAGTGGGACACTGTTACTTCAATACCCTCTTGTGCTCGGTTGCTCATCCCCAGGATTTCAACCGTGAAAAACACAGACACTTTTAAAGAATGCTGCTGCATTGGATTTGAATTTCTTGCCTAATAGAGGTCTGTAGTAAATTTATCAATGAAATAAAAATTAACAGAGATCATCAAATCTAGTAATTGACAACAGAACTACAAATTTTGATTAAAACTAAAAGTTAAGTACAAACTTAAATAATTATTACCTGGTTCTACACTCTGCCCCTTTGCTCCACTCAAGGTCTGTCCAGCAGGTGAGGGGGAAGCAATTTCAACTGGGTGAGAAGTCTCCACTGGGGCTTCTGCATCGCCCAGAACCTTCTGGGCAGTGGGAGGACCTGCACTTGTCTCTTGTGTTCCTGTATGGATTGCTTCCTGGGCCTTGACTTTCACAGGGCCCTCTGGAGTAACAGAAGCATCCAGTGAGGTGGCAGATGCCTCCACACCTTCAGAGGAAAGGACTTCTATTTGAGGCATCTCTGTTTCTTTCCTGAAGGACTCTGAGGATGGCATAGAGATGTCTCTCACCACCTGACCCTGCACGGAGCAGTTTACAAGGCTGGTCAGAAGATTCTTACAGCTAACAGCCACATCAAACATCTGCAAGCTGTCGGCTAAAGAGATGATTTTGGAGAAGTTGTGTTTGCCCACAGGTAATTTGCCAGTGTACATAATTTCTAACAAGAGAGCAAACTCCTCGGGGCTCACCACAGCCGCATCAATGGAGATGGTGTCTGTGTTGTCCAGCAAGGTTTTAAACAGGAGGCTGGCTGCGGCCAGGACGAGCTTGTGAGCCCTGAAGTAAATGGTGCCGATGGAAATGGTGCAGTCACAGAACTGCTGCTCCTTGCACAGTGTGTACAGCTGCTGCAGCAGCTGCCGGCTGTAGTTGGGGAGCTCCATTGTAGTATCGCTGTTCCAGGACTTCTCTTCCTTTCTCCTGCACAACACCACGAGCTTTACAAGCACATGGAAAGTGCCTTACTGAAAACTGTTAAGCAAACAAACAAAAAAGCAATTCACTCATTCATCCAACAAATGTTGCTCAATAGGGAGGGGCAGTAAACCAGGTACACAACATTAATAATTATAGTAATTATCATGTGCTTAACTACAGGAAAGCAACTATGCACAGATCTTGATATGGACAATTTCACTTGATCCTCAAACTACTCAGAAAAAGAGACATTGTTTCCTCCCCATTTCATAGATAAGACTTTAGCAGGCCTAAGAGAAGCAGTCCAAAGAAAAGCCGCATGAAATGACTTGCCACGTCTCACTGACTTCACAGCTGTAACTACACTACTGGATGCTGTTCTTCCCCTCCCCCAGCCGTTGGCCACCTGGAAGAATATACAGACTTAAAATTGAAGGTCCCCAGCATGTTGACGCTATCTATTCACAGTACTGGACAAGAGCCAACATTCCCTCCTTCTAATATGTAATTCAAAAAAAAATTTATATTAGTATATGCTTTAGTACGTGATTAGTAATAATCCTATAATTAGTATATAATTCTACATTCCTTGTGTGGAGTTGACACATGTACAAGACACATCATGACTTTTTGTATCCCCTTCTCCACCCCTACACCTCCTTCTCCCTCCATCTCTTGATCTCCTTCCCATCTAAGAAAGATCTATCTCTACTTTCTATTACCTTTTATTTTGCTCTTTATATTTGGGGATTTCTCATACAAGAAAAACCATGCAACATTTAAGCTTGTTGGGCTGGTGAGATGGCTCAGTGGTCTAAAGCACCTACTTAGAACAAGCTTAGCAAACACAGGGACCACGGTTCAATCCCCAGCACCACATGCCAGCCAGCCCCGCCCCCTGGTGGGCTGAGCCGGCCACACACACACACACATACACACACAAATAAATAAATAACATTTAAAAAAAAATATTTAAGCTTGTGTGTCTAATTTATTTCACTTAACATAGTGGTTTCAGGGTACATTCATTTTCCTACAAGTGACACAAGTTCATACTTTTTTGTAGTGGAGTAGTACTCTACTGTGTGTAAATACCAGTTGCTTCATTTATTCACTGGATGACGGACATACAGGCTGCTTCCAAGACGTAATTATTATGAACTGCGTCTCGCTATGAACAGGTGTACACATGTATCACTGTAACATAGTGTCTTTAAGTCTTTCAAGAAGATATCTAGGAGGGAAACAGCTGGATCAAGTAGAACTTCTAGTCTTGGTTTTCTGACGAATCTCCACATCGATTTCCATGGTGCTTGTACTAATTGCTCACCCATCAACAATACAGACAAGCTCCTTTTTCCCTGAAGCCTCGCCAACATTTGTTAGTATTTGATTTCTTGACAATGGCCATTCTTTCTGGGCTGAGATGGAATCTCAGGGTTGTTTAAATTTACATTTCTCTAGTGAGCAGTGATGCGGAACATTTCTTCAGGTATTTACTGGCTTTGTACTGTTTCTTCTGAGAAGTGTCTATTCATTTCACTTGCTCCGTTCTGGACTGGGTCTTTTATTTGGGGGAGTCTAATTTGTTAACATGAACTTTTCAACTGACTCTAGATCAGTGATGGTGAAACTATGGCACATGTAACCCCAGCAGGTTATTTATATTATTGACAGCTCTAAAAAGTTTGCCAGAGTCAGGGAGATAGCTCAGTAGAATAAGCACTTGCCTGGCAAGCGCAGGGTCCTGAGTTCAATCACCAGCACCGCAAAAAAAAAAAAAAAAAAAAAAAAAGTTTGCCATGAGTGGTCCAGGTGCCCCTACAAAAAGACCAGCCATGCCTTTTCAACTTCTGTTGGTCCCTTTCTGTTCCTTTTCTAGCTTTCGCCTCTCCTTTGAACTCCAGATATGCAATTACCTACTCGACACCTCCAACTGAAAGCCTAATAGGTTTCTGAAATGCAATGCTTCCAAAATTCTCTGCCAGCTTTCCCACTTCACAGCAATTCTGTCCGTTTGTTCATACTAAAATGCCAGAAGTTGCCTTTGACTCCTGATTTTCTCATGACGTAACTTCAACCTTTTATCAATCCTCTTAGCTCTATTTTCAAAACATACGCGAAATCCAATCACTAGCCTGTGGTCAGTCCATTTATTTGGATTACTGCAATAATCTCCTAACTGGCCTCTATGCCTCTGCCCTTGCCTAGTACTACTCCTACCTCACTTGTCTTCAACTTGATATCCATTTAGGACATGTCAAAACTGATTGCTTCTTTACACAAAAGACTCAAAAGGTTCCAGTTCTGGGGTAAAAGTCAAAGTTCTTAAAATGGTCTATAAAGCCCTTGATGATCTAGCCACCATTTAGCTAAGCTCATCCTCATCCACTCAGCCTTAAGTGTTCCTTCCTTGCTGACTTTGGAAAATACCAAGAAAACTTCAGCCAGAGTTCTCTCTTATGTGTCTGACTGGATCTCTCCCTTCCACTGTCTCTAGTTACTACGGTTTGGATTAAGAATGACTTCCAAAATTGGGCATGGTAATGCATACCTGTAATCCCAGGAGGCTGAGGCAGGAGGAGTGCTGGGAGGTCAAGGACAGCCTGGGCTACACAAAGGGACCATGTCTCAAAAAATGGAGGCAGAAGCGGAGGCATAGGAAGAAAAACGAGGAGGGGAGGAAATTGAAAAGCAGAGGAAGCAAGTGCAGCTGCCGCAGCAGCAAGAATGCCCCCCCCCCCCCCCCCCGGGTTGGGGAGATAGCTCAGTAGAATAAGCGCTTCCCTGGCAAGCACAAGGGCCTGAATTCAATCCCCAGTTCCTCCAAAAAATAAAAAAAAGTTTTAAAAAGAGGAACTAATAGTATAATTAAAAAAGAATGCTTCCGGGGCTGGTGAGATGGCTCAGTGGTCTAAAGCACCTACTTAGAACAAGCTAAGCTAAGCAAAGCACAGGGACCACGGTTCAATCCCCAAGCACCACATACCAGCCAGCCCCGCCCCCTGGTGGGCTGAGCTGGCCACACACACACAAAATAAATAAATAAATATTTAAAAAAAAAAAAAAAAAGAATGCTTCCCCAAAGGCAAGCATGGTGGCCCACACCCATAATCCCTGTACTTGGGAAGCTGAAGCAGGACTGCTGTTTGATACCAGCTTGAGCTACAAGGTGAGCTCAAGGCCAGCCTGTAGTGCATACTGACAACCTGTCGCAGAAATACAAAAACAAACAAACAAACAAACAAAAAAAAACCCTGCCTCCTCAAAGGATTGGGTTCAGAAGTAGGCTTTTGGAAGGTGACTGGATTTAGGGGGCACTAAACTCATGAGTGAATGAATCTACTGATGAGTTCATACCCAAATGCGCTGTGAGAATGTGGGCCTGCCTGGAGAAGGTGGCCCCTGGGACATGACCTTGAAGGGAGTGTATTCCTGTCCCTGGTGCCTTCCTCTTTCTGCTTCTGGACACTAGGCAGCCTGCACAGCTTTCCTCTGCTATGCACTTGCCTTAGAGCCAGGAGGCCACGGATAGAAACTAGGTGTCAAAATAAACCTTTTCTCTTTTCAGTTGTTTTTGTTGGGTATTTAATCAGTGATTAAAAAAACTGACTTACACTGTATGTAAGGGTCATACACATTGAGCATCTTCCCTAATCTGAACATCCAAAATCCAAATTGCTCCAAAATCACAAACTTTCTGAGTGCTGACATGATGCAACAAGTGGAAAAGTCCATACTTGCCCTCAGGAGATTAGTGACGTCCATACTCAGGAACATTAAAAATACTGGTTAAATTATCATCAGGCTGGCTATGTGTATAAATGAATGCTGTGTTTGGACTTGGGTCCCATTTCCAAAATGTATCATTTTATATATGCAAATATTCCAAAAAAATTTTTTTTAATCCAAAGTATTTCTAGGAAGGAGCACTCGACCTGTATGTCAGTAAGGCTTCCTGTCATCATGGGGGTTTTTTGTTTTTGTTTTTGTTTTGGTACCAGGGATTTAACTCAGGACCCTCCCCTTACCAGACAGGTGCTCAAGCCACTGAGCCATCTCCCTAGCCCCTGTCATCATGTTAAGAGTCACCTCCCCTAACCTCACAACATCCCTCTTTGCTTTTCATCACAGCACTTATACCCATTGACACACTATACTTTCAAGTATTTATCATCTTATCTCCTTTTACTAGAACATAAGCTCTGGTAGGGAAGGATCTCTACATCTGCTATATCGCAGTGCTTAACATTCCGCCTAACCCAAATCTTGCTGGCTAACTGCAGAATGATCAATAACAGGAAGACATAATGACAAGGGATCTGCGCACAGAAACTCAGCCAGGGACAGAGGAGTCCAAGAGTTTTGAGGCAGGAACAGCTGACTTGCATCATATATGATGCAGAGGCACTGAGGAGGTTAAAAAAAAAGTGGGAGGAAAAGGCACTCCAAGCAGAGAAGCGGCAGGAGGTTCACAGAAAGGAAAGCATTCTGCAGTGGCAGAGAGGACGGTAAGGAGGACAGTGACACAGAATGTAAAGCTGGACCCCAGAAGGATGTACAAGCCATACTTAGGAGCCCAGATTTTCTCCTAAACACAAGGGGAAGTCAATGGGAAGGGATTACTGTGGGAAAGTCGGATGGCAAGACATGCATTTCAAGTACTTGTCACCCTGAGGTATTTCTAAAGAATTTAAGGGGGGCAATATTAAAGATAGGTTTTATTACTGCCGATCAGGAAGAAATCAGTAAGAGTTTGACAGGGAGTAGTAACAGAAGAGAGAAGAGGAGAGTGAAAGGATGTATAGAAACTATAACAGACATGATTTAGGAACTGAGAGATATGAACGAGAGAAATACCTAAAAATCTATTAATGTATTCCACAACATCAAACAGATTAAGGAAAAAAACCCACTAATATCAATAATGCATAAAGAGAATTTAATGAAATCCAACACCCACTGATGATGAAAACCCTCAACAAAATATAAACAGAAAGGAACTTCCTCAGCTTGATAAAGACAAGCTGCAAGGTGGGCATGGTGGTGCATAC